TGGTTGCAAATAAGATACTGTACAGGGTTCAGCCCCTTTACTATGACGTTGGGGAATACGCGGACCCGACTTCCGGCACGCGCACACTATTTTCAACGAAAAAGAGCTCGTTCACACCAATCCATTTTGTGATGGGGCGGGCACCCTCGCGGTAGCTCTATCGGGTCTGTTAAATGTTTCTCATATACGGAGAAAGTGCTGCAATATATCTAGTTGGAGTTCTATCTTCGAGCTTGACGTCCGCGCCCGGCATTGTCGCAAGCTCTCGAAAAAGGGCCCAGCGATCCCGCGCAGGCACTCGAATGAGAACCGAAGGAGTTGCGAAAGAGATATGGACGCCGCTTGTGGGCGTGTAGGGGTAGCAGAATATGGCAGTAAGTACCACGCTGCGCGGAGATGCTGCAATACGCACAGAGTGTGCGATTGAACAGGAAGAGGCCCGCCGCGCGAGTCTGCACGCCGCGCGCGCGACGGGAACGCGACGCGCTGGCGCCTCCCGAGGTCGCGTACCCACTGTTCGAAATTCAAGCGAACTGCAACAAATGCCGGCGTCTTTTTGGCTTTTCCTGCGCGCTTGAGGTTCGATACGTTCTCGGACGATCCTCGGAGGTGTAAAAAGGCCAGCCGTCTTGGTGAGTTCTCTTCCCTTGTTCACGCTAAAAATGGTAATCCCTCCGCTATGACATATGACTAATCTCGCTTAAATTATGACATACCGCATATGGTAATATCTCGCAATATACATAAACCCCATCTACAGGACTTAGGGGAACGAGAACTCACCAACGACGGATGGTTTTAGGAGCCTGGGTGTACGCCAGAAAAAACGTGTAGAGGATTAAGCTAGGTACAGAAGCGCGCTCACTCAAGGCCTTCCGGCTTGCGGCAATGTGCGCAAATGATATCCTGTCCACCATACGGGCGCTGGTCTCTCATTTACGCGCGACCCGGCGCGGGAAGGCAATGCGCCGATGCCACTCGCTGCCGATATAATATCCAGATTGCAGTCACAAGTTGGTATAAGTCATACAGTACGAATGTCCCAGAGATTTCAGATGCAACTAAAGAACGTCAGTGCCCTCGACAGCAGCACGCAAGAGCTAGGACCCCGACCCAGAAAGACGATAGCGCGAAATGCTGCCCTACTGCACAAGGGAGACCATCAGCGGCATCTGCGGGCCCGCCTTCATGTCCTCCTTCACCAGCGGCACGGTAAGGCCCGCCGGGAAGCTGATGATCGTGGGGTTGTCGTCCGGGATCTTGAACTCGAACTGCTCGATGAGCTCGACGAGGATGACCTGCATCTCGATGATCCTGGAAGAAGACACTGCCGTCAGCCACGCGCAACGCGCACATGCACAGAAGGGCTACGCACGAGAACCGCCATCCGATGCACGCCTGCAGGCCCGCGCTGAACGTCATCAGGTTCGAGGTCACGCCGACATACGTCTGGCCCATCTTCTCGTGCTCGATCCACCGGTTCGGGTTGAACTCGTCAGCGTCGGGACCCCAGATTGACGGCAACCTGATCGCGACATACACTCGCATCAGCTACCGACCGAGGAGACCCTCTCCGACTCCGCAAGCACTCACCTGTTGTACGCCCACACGGAGATCTGGCAGGCCGTGCCTTTCGGGATGGGAATCTCGTCGACAACCTCGCCCGTGGTGGTCGTGACTGGGGTCGACAGCGGGATCACATCGTCGCGGCTCGCCTCGCGAATGAGGCCGTAAACGATCGGGTGCAGCCGCAGAACCTCCTTCATCCCCGCGAGCACATGCGTCATCGCGTCGAGGTCGCTCACGGTGAAGTCGGAGTCGCCGCGCTCCGCGACGCGCGCGCGGATCGCGCGCACCTCCTCGCGCATCTTGTTCTGGAAGTCGGGGTGGCGCGCGAGCTCGTACAGCATCCAAGTCATCGAGTTCGCAGTGGTTTCGTGGCCTTTGTGCGAGCGTCAATCACTCGTGCGTCTGTAGTGGGGAAATTTGGTGCATACCGGCAAGGAGGAAGGTCGCCATCTGGGAGATCATCTCATTGTCAGTGAGCCGAGACTTGGGGTTCTCCGACGCGTTCGCCTTCACTGTGGGCGCAGACGTATGGGAGGAAACCGTGAGCGTCAACTGTTATGCTCGAAGGTGATCGCGTACCTAGGATGCTCATCATGTCCCGCTTGTTCTCGTTCTTCCCCGCGAGAACCGCCTCCGTCTTCTCATTGATAAGGTCCTTCGCAAACTTGTTGATCACCTTCAGGGTGCTCCGGAAGCGAATGTGCTCCTTCGACGGAACATACTGCACGAACGACAAGATGGGCATCGGGATGTACCGCCACAAGTGACGGAAAAGGAGGGTGGGCTTGGACGGGAACGGAATGGCATCGGAGCTAAGGTATGGTGTTGAGAACAGCTGCGAGATGTCGTTGCGAGAGACAGATCCACGTACAACATGTTCTTGTACGCGTGCATGACGGGGTTGAGGGAGTCGTCCAGCGCGCCGCACTGCACGTCAAAGCCAACTAGACGTCATCAGAGTACGGTTCTGTCAGTAAAGTACGGCAAGTATGCGAAGCGCTATACCCATACCTTCGCCAATAACGTCCAGCGTGCAACGGGCGAGCCACGCCGAGACGTTAATCTTCTGCGTGGCCGCGTCCGTCCCGGTCAGGAGCTGCTCCTTCCACTTTTGTGCGAGCTGTTGGCATCGCAAAAGTGGCGGTCAGATGGCGTGCACACAGTGTTACCTGTCGCGGCTGTCACGGACCTTCTGAGCAGAGTGCCGGAAGAGCGGGAGGAACGACCGGAGCTGGCTTGCGGTGAAGGCAGGGTTCATGATCTTCCTGATACGCGCATGGTCCTGGTCTGCATCTCTCGGTGAGCGCCCCCGCCGCACGTCGAAATAGCAGACGACATACCCTGCGCGAAGAGGATGCCAGGGCCTGTAATCTCACGCGTGAACTGCCTCGCCACCGCGCCCTTCTGGAAGTGGTAGCCGGACTTGTGGAAGATGTACTGAAGCGCCTGGGAGCACATGAATTTGTCAGCGCTCGGCCTGAGACGGGCAGGAGACCTGTCAATACCTTCGGGTCAGCGATCTGGAGCGTATCCTCCTGTGTTCATCTGTTAGAATGTGACATATGCACACGGTACACAAGGCTCACGTTGAAGCACGTCTTGAGTCTCCAAATGAGCCCGTACTCCTTCATCCACTCCCTCTCCAGCGCCCCAACCTCGAACTGCGCGTTGACCACGCTGGTGTGGCCTGCAATGCGAAATACGAGAATATTAAGGTGAATGAACACACGGCCGAAGGATAAACGTACCCATAAGCCAGCTTGGCGACTCGGGGCCCCGGATCTTCCTCAAATGGCGGCCAGCGAGGTACTGGCGCACGAACAGCGCAAGCAGCACGCCGCTGCTAAGCAGAACCACCAACAAGGGCTCCATATCCTTGTAAAGAGTGCCAAATCGTGAGCTCTGAGGCAGACATGTGGCGGGAAAAGGGCAACTCACCGTAAAACGCTCGGGGTGGTGCAGTGGGGTGGCCGAAAAATAGGTGCGGTGGAAGGGTGGAAGGTCGTGAGGCGACGCCAAACGAAGCCTCGGCAATATATGTGGTTCCTTGCCAATCTACGATGGACTCGAGGTCTGCTTCCCACGAGCAGCGAATGAAGGGAATTGCGGCCCATGGGCGCCGATTTGATCAGCGCATGAGCTAAGCCAACCGTCTGCGGGGGGTAGAGATCCCGACAGAAGATGGTACACGTCTGGCCTGCTCCTCGGTAGGAGATTCGGTACGCGAATGGAGGCAGGGCACAGCGGGTATCATCGAATGCACGGCGAAGCCTCGAAGATGCGCAGTGCGTCGGAGCTGTGCTCGCCCGGGTCGCCCCTTGGCGTTCAAAGCGAACTCCTGAAGGCTTTACCCTCCCCGATCTATCGATCTCGTCGACATTAGCCCAGAGCCGCGAGCGACCTCTCGATCGTGTTAGAGGGGCGATGGCCTATGAAAGCGTGCGCATTTGTCCGGAGAGCGTCGCCTTGGTACCGTCTAATGGCGGTCTACTAACAATCTCTGATAGTAAGTAGGTCCAGTGTCAGTGTAAGTCAGTAATGGTTAGAACCGTTACTCAGCGGCTTCAAAGCAGGTCAGATTTAGACATCTACATACTAATCGTGCCGGTACGCCCAGGTACGCCCCCAACTAACAGTGATGGGAAGCTCACCCGATATAGTATCTTCGAATTCTTCAGGTCACAGATACTTCCACGAGAAGCATGCCCTGCGATACCATGCCCCCATGACCCTGCTCTGCGCATGATTGTTCGGAGCTACGCCGCTGCAGACGTATGGCGCAGAGAATATTCTGGCACTATCGAGGTGGTGGGTGCTGCGTAGTACACGTTGATACAGCGGGGGTTGGCTGCAAAGTTAGCGTCGCGCAGCTTCGCGCGGGGGCCGGAGGAAGAGGGAAGGTGCATGCCCGCTGGATGCCGGACGCAAACAACATCATGCTTGGAAAACCGGGCGCCGCGTCGGCCCGGGACCTCTTTCTCAAGTCAACGTATCGCCCGTCTCGTACGATATTGTCCATAACAGACACTCCAACTGCCGTTTAAGCTCAAGAATCTTCTGCTACGGGTATGCCGTGGGTCTGATGATCTGCGAACAACACCAGGGCTGTTTTGTTATTCAAATTCTAAGACGAGACTCTGCGGCATAATCGTACAAACGCCTGACCATGGTGAGCGTCCAGTATTGTACCCAAATTTGTTCCTTCTGTCATCTGCCTTGGTAAAACCATAGCGCTGCTCGTTGCATCTCCATAATGTGCGGTGTTAAAACGCATGGGTATAAACACGCCCTTCAGCAGCGATAGATGATTTGTTCGCGGCAATACTAGACGTGACAGCTCGTACCAGCGATGAGGTACGCACTACCGAGCACTGGTACCCTTCCTGTGAATCATTTGAGGTCCGATAGCATTGGTAGTAGCTGCAGAAGGTCGGCGTATTCGTGGACAGCGCTGATAGCATTGTGGCACACTGTCGGTGATTGCGTGAAAACGTCCCTCGTAAAAATGTCCCTTGTGATTGATTAGTGGTACATAGCGCTAGCGCACAAGTCCAAGAGTCCACATCAAGTCCACAGCATACGAAACGCACTGACTCTACGTTTATAGTATCACGTACGCGCCGAGGAGTGCACTTCCTAGCGCGGTCGCCAGGCCCAGCCCGAGGGGTCCCGACGCGCTACCGCGGATTGCTGGGGCGCCGCTGAACGACGAGGGAGATTGGAATGAGACGGACTCGCGAGCGGAAGGGTTCGATCGACTCACTTCTTGGATGCAACGTCCTGTTCTATCTGTGTAGCCTTCGATTCGAACGCGCTCACGATGGCAGTCGCTAGAACATCAGGGCGACGTTACGGTTCGCTTACCACGTATTCTCGATATCTTACTCACCTTCATGGCCAAGAGCTGATGTATCAGTGGATAGGTACCCGTTAGAAAGGGGCAACAAGGGATCTGGATCATCACTTGCCTGTATTTGAGGCAAAGAATCCCCCCACTGCTCAGTTTTGTCAGTACTACGCTCTACGAGGTGACGGTTGTCTGGCCCTAGGCCACTCACGCGCTGAAGTTGCTTCTCCGAACAACGTTTCAACTACGTATCTTGTCAGAAGCTGCCAAAGTGCGCTCACGAATGCGACTCACTTTCTGGGGTGATGCCGCTCAGAACAGGCGCAACTGACCCGCATCCTGATCAACTATGATCGCGCAGAAAGGACGAGCAAGACGTACTGTCTGAGCTAAATATCTGCTCCGCCGCACTCGTCACAGTGTCGACAACTATAAGCAGGATCAGTCGGTATGAAGGGGATCGAAGATCGTTGGAAGGCAGGCAACTTACTGTCTCGCTTTTGCTCAGGTGCCGGCCTGGCCTGTACAAAGACTGCGGAGAGGAAAAGGGCAGCAACGATACCGGCGCGCATATTGATTGAAGTTCGAAAGGAAGGGGCGCCTGGCCGACAGATAGAACGAAGGTGAGTGGACGGAGCGAGAGGACGACGGGAGCGTCGAACACCGCGCGGCGTTCCCTTATATGCAGCTGCGGCCTGACGGAGCAGGAAGCGATGTCGTACCCTTGCACACGATCATGCGACACCGTCGATGATTGTACGTAGAGCGACGCAATCGTTCCGACAGGGCCCCAACACCGGTATTCAAGTCTCAAGGTGCGCGATCTTGGGATATGATTGGTGCCACCGCCCGGGCGCGTTGCCCTCCGAAGCCCCCATTGGCCGCGCAGCGGGCGCGTAACGGCGTGCGCATCTGGTGGAACTGACAGCGACGTCAACGCAGGGTGGTTACAGAATCAGCTATCCTCAGGCTTCGCACCGGTTCAGGCCACTCACCGTTATCCGGGGCACCACAGGAGGGCCAGCGCGGCGGCGGCCGAGACGACCGAGGATATTTGGCTTCTTGTTCTCACCGCGCCTGACCGGTTACGGCTCCGCCGTGAGCCTACCTACCAGCCAGCCACGGGGTACGCATTGTCGTGGTTGCTAGCTCGAAGGGCTGCGATCAAGTAGAAGAGGATCCCGTATCATCCTCTGTGCAAACCGATTGACCATTTATGAGGCTGCAATAACGGGGAAGAAGATCGAACTCCCGCGAGTGCGATAGCAGGTTCTGGTCAGGTTGTCGGCCGTATAGTTCGAAGACCAAGATACGCTGATTTTGTGAGTGAGTGGAATGGATAGAATGAAATTCAAACTTTCATGCATCATGGTCAGGAGCAAGCTTAAGATGGCCCTTATGACAAGCGCTTGGTCGCAGTGTCGCACTACGCATAGACGCCGGAGCTCGGCGGTGAGCATAAGTTGACTGTTTGATCTGTGTCTGAGCACCGTGGACCGCGGCGAGTAAGTAGCACGTACGAGCATATACGTTTGAAATCTCAGGCATAACGCACTTTCCAGCCAGGCGAACCGATACTAGTGCGATCGCAGGAGTAACAACCATTGTTACGAACTTGAATATCATCCCAGGGTATAATATATCTGGACTAAAGATGTCCAAGAAAAAACAAGCATGGGGACTCATCAACACGTTGAGGCGCATACTACGACATCGGACTCGGACGCCAGAGATATACCAACTCAGAGGACGAGAGCAGCGCCAAGGGCGAGGCTACCGACAACCGCCCCGGCGCCGGCCCACATCGCGCGCGGAATGCTGGCAAGCGGCTGCGCCGCGCTGAAGAGAGAATCAACTCGTAAGTGAGTGTTCATCCGCCTGCCACGTAGTACTCACTTTGGCGCAGCGGTGAATACCTCGCCACCGAATATGGTGGTGGCACCGGCGGTGCCCGTGGCGATGGTGATCTCCTGGTTGCCGCCGATGGAAGAGACCTTCACGATCGGCGTAGAGTTGATGGCTAAGCAGAGCTCAGCGGCGTGCTCTCTCGGTGCTTCGCAGATACGCACTCGTTACGACAGTCGTGAGCTGAGTCGCAGTGCCGATACCTCGCAGGGCTTCCGCGGCGGCGAGGGATGCTGATTTCAGGGAAGGGCAGTCAGCGACATAAGAAGGGTGTGGCCGGTAGCAAAGCGACGACACGTACCCTCTGCCTGCAGCAGACTCTGTGTCCCCACTGTTGTCGTCGGACAAGATATGAACGCGTATCCTTCGAGCACAGTGGCACAACACCTATGATATCACGTACCAAGTGTCTCGAATGCCGCAGAGTGCGAGTTGAGGAAGGACTGCACGACATCAATGGACACAGTCCCCGTGGGTACGACGAGAGTAGTCGTCCCGCTGGGCAGTGTCAACGTCTGGACTGTGTCACAACGAAGAGCCTGTCAGCCAAACTACAATGGGGAAGGCAGGCGGACTCACAGCCGTCGGGCGCGGCCTGCACCGCGACAGCAGCAACAGCGAGGAGGGTTGCGGTCTTAAACTGCATTGTAGACGTCGGGATATTAATACGGGACGGAGGGGGGGAGCTGGAAGAAGAAGGCGTAGGCGTAGTGTTGATGGGCAAAAAGGTATTAGACTCGACTTGCCATTGCTCTTATGCGACATCCAGGGATGCTAGCGCTATTGCTTGGTGACTCAGGTGCGAATTCCTTCCTTCTTGTCGGCTCCGAGCGGTCTGGCCGCTTCGCGCATGCAGACCGCAGGCAATTGAGCTGCACCACGGATTTTCTGATCAGGTGCGCACGTCAAAAAAGGCCGTGCATGGGCGCTGTGATCTATACAACGGTTCGGCAAGAGCACGCCTGGGTCAGGCACAACTTTACAATTGGATGGCAGAACATACCTGGACAACATCACGCAATCTTGACAGGTTGCCTGCAAACCTCCTATAAATCTCATGACCACGCTCATCACACCTTGTGAGAGCGAGTGTGGTTACGAGCTGCGGGTGTGTAATTACTGGAAGCTGTGATAAGGTGCAATTTGATAGACCGCTAAGAAACGTGCTCGCAAGCAATATGCCGGCGACTCGGAGAAGACTCGATGACAAGCCCTGCGCGTCGTCTCCTGCAGGCCTGAATGGCGCACGGTCCTCGAAACCCACGAGATGGGCGTCCTTTAGAAGTCCCCAGCCGCGTTTTACGCAGGCGGGGTGTAATAAGAGCTAGCACAAGATCGTACTATCCGGTCGTGGAATTGAGGCTGTGGCAGTACCCAAGTACACACGCCGAACACCAGCCGTAACGCACGACAAGTGCGCTTGCATGTCCTGTGCAGCCCCCTGAGCCTATAGAGAGTGGAAGGTCAGCGCCAAAAAAACATCACCAAAGCGAATAAATGAATTACCGTGTAATAATATGAGCGTTTCTCCAATGATTTCTGTGTTTCAGGCGGGCATAATATTTGCGCACTGCAGTCGCCAGTGCACTCGAACGGCATGGCAAGCACGTCCAGAGTTCAGTGGTATCCCAAAATGCAGACCAGCCAGGTGCTAAGCCCATAGATTCGATCCGTTCCAGAGGGGGAGGAATTGAGCCTTTTAAATGAGTGGAGAGGGGGAGTCCAGGTCCCAGGTCGATTAGCGCGCACAACCTTGGACGCGTCGTTGTGACGAGATATCGTGACCGCGACGCGTTGCAGTCGCGTTTTGCGTGACGTGCGTGACAGGGCAATTAGGGAAAGGCGATCGGCGCGAGAGCGCGTCCTGCAGCTCTTTTCTGCTTTCCACCATGGCCTCCTCAGAAATCGCCCAATGCCTGTCTGCCACACTCTCATCCGACACAAACACGCGAATTGCTGCTGAGCTGAAGCTGGGAGGTCTGCTGAAAGTGCCAGGCTAGTCATCCTGAATGTCCGTATGTGGCTGGTCAAAACTCACCTCTCGACGCGTCTCGCAGAGGCCGCGCTCGGGTTATCGCAGCTCATATTGACTTCTAATGCCGACTTGTCTTTGCGGCAGATGAGTTTGACGCGTCGTCCTGCTGTTCAACCGAGCCTGATGATCGTTTTGCCCTAGCACTCAGCTGCGATCGTTCTGAGGAAATACGTCAACGAACACTGGTCTCCCTACTTCTCACAGTTCAAGGGCTCCGCACCACCACCTGAGGTACGTGTCGTACTTCTTGATTCCCAATGTTCCGGCGCGTGTATCACGCGCGCTCGGATTGCCCACATGCGAACGCGGACATGGGCCTACCTTTGCCGTAGTAGCCACTGCTAGTGCCAACCTTCCGCACTAGAGGCATATTTCCCAAACGCGCCGTTGTAAACAAGAAAGGGCAGATTAGTAGTGTCTAACAATGTGCTATAGATCAAGACGCAAATTCGCCAGGCCGTGTTCCAGGGCCTGTCCGACCCCATTCGTAAAATCCGCTCTCTATGCGTACGTTCATACCTTATGATTTCGACGAAGAGACTTTGAATGATTATTCTCAGGCCCATACGCTTTCCTCGATAGCGAACTGCGATTGGCCGGATGAATACCCCGATCTCCTCAACTCACTCATCGGCCTCCTCTCTTCCCTCTCTCCCGACTCTGTGCATGGAGCTATGCAGGTCTTCACAGAGTTCATCAAGTCTGACATCACAGAAGACCAGCTACTTCCCGTCCTACGTCAACTCCTCCCAGTCCTCCTCAACATTTTAGGCGCGCCCGATGTAAGACTCATGTGTTTTCTGAAGGCGACGCACTTCAGGCTGATCAACCCACAGCAACACTCCGCCATCACTCGCTCAAGAACCATCTCAGTTTTCCGACAATGCGTCGAGTCCCTTTACATGGTAAAGGACCAATACCCTGACGCTGTCAAGGAGGCCACTGCGACGGTCCTCCCTGTGTGGCTTGATGCCTTCAAAATGCTTCTCAACGTCAACCCCTACTCCGACGTTGAGGACACTTCAAACTGGGACGGCCTGGCCGTCCGTATCCAGGTTTACAAGGTATGCACTTAATAGAAGTCTCGAATAGCTTGATTTTGACGCAGGAGCACTGCAGACCCTCGACACAATGCAAACGTCGTTCCCGCGCGCACTCACGCCGTATCTGAAAGATTTTCTCTCTGCTTCCCTCAACCACCTTTCCGCTCTCTTCCCGACGTTCAACTACTACTACCTCCGGTCCATTGCACCCGTGCCCCGTTCGAGTGAGGATGAGACAATCGAGCTCACACAGCTTGTATGCCCCATGCTCGACTTCGTCGCGAATGTTGCTCGCTCGGGCAAGGCGAAAGACTGGTTCACGGGTCAGAACCTGACTAGCCTCATCAGCGGCGTTTTCAACTGGGTGCAAATGACTAGTGATGATGTAAGTTTTACGAACTCCCGACGCTTGCCTAGCACCAGCTCAATGATGGGTATAGGAAGATGAATGGGCTAGCAACGCGAATGCGTTCGTCGCCCAGGAGTCTGATGACACGCTTTCGTACAGCGTGCGCATGGCCGGATTCGACCTTCTCGCCGTGAGTAGTTTCCTCACATTGCCACTGGAAGTACGCCTCACACGCATGCCTCAGGTTTTGGTCGAGAGGGCACCTGTGCCTGCCGTGACAACGTTCCAGTCCACCATCCATCGCGTTGTTGTTGAATCAGAGAAAGCACGAAACTCTGGAGATGATAACTGGTGAGTTTTTCTCATGCCGTTCGTGTATGAGAAACTGACATTTACCTTCCAGGTGGCGCGCCCTTGAAGCCTCGCTCGCTGCTATCGGCTCGCAGGCGGAGGACGTACTTGACGTCATCGACGACGAGCGTGAATCAGGACGCGCGAAGCCCATCGATATTGAGTCACTGCTCACTAACGTCATCCCGAACTTCCTGGTCCTTTCCCGTACGCGCCTTTCCTGGAATGAGAATTACCTCGCGAGATTAACGTGCTCTTGGGGCAGAGTTCCCGTTCTTGCAGGGTCGTGCGTTTGTATTCGCGAGCCAGCATGCTAAACTGCTACCAGCTCAGCTGGCAGGTCAATATCTCGATGCGGCCGTTCAGGTTCTCGAGGCCTCGGAAGCAGGCGTCCCGGTGAAGGTCTCTGCTGTGAAGGCTATCCACAAGTGTGCCATCCTCTCCGCGTGTTACGTTCGATAGCTAACTGTCTCCTTCTTAGCTTCTGCCAGAACATCGACGACGCGGTCGCAGTGCCCATGGCTCCCCGCATTGCCAAAGACATCGGACCCTTCCTGCCTGTGACATCGGAGGACACCCTGACGCTCGTTCTCGAGACACTTGCGGTAGTTGTCCAGATCGACGAAGGCAAATGGATTACGGAGGATCTTGCTCGCTCCATTGTCGTGGCCGTCCTGGACGTATGGATGAAGAATAACAACGGTTTGTGGATTTTTTCCCACCTGCGCGTAATACTTAACGTGGATGCCCATATCACATTTCAGACCCCATCTTCATCTCTATTCTCACCGACGTGCTGGAGTCGCTCGCCTCCTCACCCGCACCTGGAATATACCTGACTGTCGTGCGGCAAGCGTTGCCAGCACTCTGCAACGCGATTATGTCATCCACCGCGGTCGACTCATGGGTGGCGAGTGCGGCCATCGAACTCGTGAGCAGCCTCGCAAGCGGCGCTCCGGAGACTGGCCTCGGAGAGGGTTTCTTTGCCATGCTCGCACCAAGTCTCTTCTCGTGTCTCCGTACGACGGAAGATCGGGATGTCATTCAGGTGGGGTCTATGACAATGGTTGTTTGTAGCTAATCTCACCACTCCACAGAACGGCATTGCGTGCCTTACCCTGCTTATCCGCAAGGACGTCAACCAGCTCGTTTCTTGGTCGGACCCCGCATCTGGCCAGTCGGGCCTCGATGGCGTCCTGGCAGTGATCGCGAAGCAGCTGCAGAGCGAAGACGAGTCCGGCGGACTCGTCATTGGCGACCTGATCATCCATCTCCTGCGTCGCGCAGGCGAGGCAGTGCTTCCCGTTCTGCCCCAGCTCCTCCAGGCGATGGTAACGCGCATGCTGACAGCGAAGACCGCGACGTTCCTGCAGGCATGTCCTGCCCAACTCAATCTGAACAATCCCGCGCATCATGCTGACGACTACGCCACAGAGCCTGATCATCCCCTTCGCGTTCCTGATCCACAACCAACGCGACACGGTGCTCACGCTTCTCGAGGGCACGAACGTCGCCGGCCGCTCCGGGCTCGACATCCTCATCCAGACGTGGTGCGAGAACGCGGAGACGTTCCAGGGCTTCTGGCCGACGCGCATTTCCGCGCTCGCGCTCACTTCCCTCTTCGCGAGCGAGCGCCCGAGCCTGCAGCAGCTCGTCGTCAAAGGTGACATCATCGTCAAGCCGGAGACGAAGAACGGTGAGTACCCTTCATTGTGCCATTGTGGCTGTTATCGGGCGGTCGGGGCTGAGCGGGCGTGCGTACGCAGTGATCATGACGCGCTCGAAGACGAAGCAATGTACGCGCTGCTTGGCTCGAGGCCGGCTCATACCCTACAATATATGCAACAACTGACATGCGCTAATTTATCCTGCAGCTCCCACGGAGTTCACGTCGGTATCGTTCCCGGCGAAGGCGCTTAAGCTGCTCGTGCACGAACTGCAGTCGGGTGGTGAGGCGGCGTCGATGGGCTTCAACGACGCGGACGTTGCCGAGCTTGATTCCGACGATGGGGTACGTCTCTCGTAACTCTAGCATTCTGCTAATCCTATTCATATGCGGGTTGGCTTACCATTATATTAGGACGAAGAGTGGACCGAGGAAGAGAAGCTGCACCAGGGCTTCAAGGCGGACGAGTTCGCATTCCTGTCCGACATGCTCGGCCCGCGCGGTATGGCGTTCGACAATGACGACGCTCTCGAGGAGAACGATGACGAGGACCTGAAGAACGACCCCGTGTCGACGATGGACATGCAGGTGCGTAACACTATGTTCCAGTTCGGCTCTCAGATGACTGAATCTTTTCGTTGTGGCAGGCGCATCTGCTGGGCTTCCTCAAGGAGTGCGCCGCGCGGAATACGGGCAACTTCTCCGCGGTGGTCGAGCAGCTCAACCCTGAAGAGATCGTGGTCGTGCGCAAGGCGGTGAGCGGGCAGTAGACGCGAATGAAAGCAGTACGATTTTGGTTGGAATGACCCCACGTTGAAGACTGTATAATGTCATATGAGATACTCACGTTTTAAGACAGATGAGAGCTTACCAGTGCTGCTGGGCACATCGTGACATACCGGCAATCTCCAAGGGCATCAGCAAAGCACAAGACTTCGACTTGACCGCCGAAAGAAAATTCCCTCAGACGACGAGCTCCTGATCCCGCTACCCTGATTGTGCGGGATCACACACCCCCTATTCCGTGCATCTTCTCCCGGCAGCTAAAATGAAAGCGGCGTTTGGTCGCACTCGACCTGCATGGCACGCCATATATTCCCCACTTTAGAGCTGCGGCTATGTCTAATTTCCGCATTTTGACGTGCACTGCGCGACGCACGCAGCAGTACATATGCACCCACAGCTATCAAGTGGCGTTATATCGGTGGATGCGGTATATTGTCTAACTACATACGGTCAGGTTGGAGGCTCGAGGGGAGGGGGGCGTCGCACGCGTCTCCGAGTCCCAGCTGGAATGCGCGCCTTTCCCCGCATTTTCTAACGTCATCGCAGCCACCGGCTACGACGATCTTTGGCTTCTCTCCGACTCATACGGCCATGCAACGCATATCCATTGGCTATGACATGCTTACACTGAGCAAATCATAGCGCTTTCTGGGAGCTGCGTAGTAAGTAGAAGAAGTGCAAGGTCACGCCATGGGAGACTGAAGAGAGAGACCGAGGCCCGGACCGACAGCGTCATCTGATAAATACCCCTCAACGTCGAGTTTCGGAGTCAAACTCACTTGAGGCTTTATACTGACTACCATCATGCCGTCTCTCGAGCTCAAGACTAACGTTGTTATCGCCGACCCCAAGGCCTTCTCGCTCGAATTCTCCAAGGTAAGAGCGCGTGTGCGCCAGTAGACATTATGATCTTACCTCGCATTCCTCCAGTTCGCGGCGAAGACCTTGGACAAACCGGAGAGCTACATCTCCGTATCCTACCAGTACCATGAGCACCTCACATTCGCCGGATCGTTCGACCCTGCCTTCCTGTTGTACATCGTAAGCATCGATATCCATCGAGCTACTTAGAGCGCCTCTGATCGCACTGATGTCATGCGCAGACGAGTCTGAACAATATCAACCCCGAGCTCAACCAGCAGTACTCGAAGGCCTTCGCCACCTACTTCAAGGAGAAGCTTGGTGTCGAGGACACCCGCGGGTACATGTGAGTGGCTGTCTGCACCGCGGCGCGGCGCCCTCGCTGATGCACGGCATCCATAGCACCTTCTCCGACCCCGGCCTCGACTATCTGGGGTAAGTTCCGTTTTATAGCGCGCCCCTGAGACGCGCAATACTAACGATCATTTGCTTACCTTTCAGGTACAATTCGACCACGTTCGGCACAATCTTCCGCAAGTAAACATCTAAGACGTCGCAGCAGGGCCAAATGTATTACCAGAAGTAAATGTAACAATTGTCAATTGATTGGCAGGCCCGTTCGGAATTCGAACGCCAGCTCCTCGACTGAGAGACACACTGCCGTGCGGTCTGTAAGGAACGAAACGACGGACGTGCTTGTCGAGTTGCCAGAGCAAGAGTCAATGTACGCAATTACTGCGCATCTCATTATATACTGTACGTTGTAAGATATGCCGATAGTAGTTCCAGGTGTGCAAAACGGGACCCTGTGTACGTATACAAACCACTATACATACTTATACAAGCCATTTAAACTCTGGCGAATAGATATCGATGTCCCAGACGAAAATACGCATCGTCAGAACCCCTCCTTGCCCAAATCCCACTCCCTCACCGCTCCGCGCTTCTTGTACTCAATATCCAACACGCTCACCTCCCCATCCGCACGTTTCTCCATTCCCTTCTCCCGTCCCTTGCCCTTATCCTTCTCCTTACCCCCGCCCCAGCGCTCCAGCGCCTTCTTGTCCTCCTTGTCCTGCCGCCGGATCCGGATGAGCTCCAGCATCGCGTCCCACCCCGCGAAGTCCTCGTCGCTAATGAGCCCCGTGGCCGGTATCGAGGGCGCCGCGAGCGGCGCGACGTCCAGGCGCGGGTCATAGGACTCCTCGAAGTACTTGTCCATCTTCGACGGGAGTGCGGGGCCGGGAGACGGAGGGCCGGGGGACGGGGAGCGGGACCGCGAGGACGTGCGGGAGGACCGCAGGGTGTGTGAGGAGGTCGAGCCAGGATGGGAGGGCCTGGTGCGTCGAGAAGACTTGTGGGTGCGGTTGCGGGTCGTGGATGGTGATCGGCTGCGGGTGCGCCGGGACGAAGACGGTGCGGGGGATGGTGAGGCGTGGCGCCGCCTGCGGTGAGAGCGAGAAGACTCGTGCCGGCACGGTGGCGTACGGCTTGGGCTGCGTTCCAATGAGGGAGAACCACCGCGTCGTGGGGGTGGTGAGGGCGACCGGCTTGCCCTGGCCTTGCCCTTGCGCTTCAGTTGTGCGCGAAGCTGGTCTTCGCGTGAGAGCGTGTCATCCGCATCCGCCTTCGCGCTGCTAGGCTTCTCAGAAGGCTCGTCTTCGTCTGCACGAGAAAGTAATGGTGCGGGAGAGGTTGTTCTCTGCTTCGCGGGACGGCGCGAGGCCTCAGAGTCGCGAGATGACGAGCGTCGCGATGTCGATGGTGTGCGACTAGGATGCCGGCGGCGATGCGAGCGTTCTCCGCTGCGTTCCCGTCTCTTCCTCTCGGGTCGGCCGTCGCCCTCGTCCTCACTGCGATCTGGAGAGCGACTGCGCTTCCGATCGCGGCGGTGTCTTCTGTGCTCGTGGTCATCTTCAGCGCCACGGCGTCGTGAGTGTCGGTGCGAGCTGCGCTCCTGCCGAGAGCGATGGCGGCCCTTACTCTCCCGCTCTTCCGACCGCGAGCGCGAGCGAGGGGCATGCCGCCGCTCGCGCTTCTCAGACCTCCGCTCTCGGTCATCGTCGCGGTCGTCTCGCTCCCAACTTCGTTCCCTGCGTTTTCGGTCGCTCCGCCGATCTCGGTCCCAATCGTCCGACCTGCTCGACCTGCCCTCGCCTTTCCTTCGCCTGAGCCGTTCGGCCTCCGCTGCCTCCTCAGCGCGAGCCCTCCGTTCTCGGCGTTCCTGCTCTTCCCTTTCTAGCCGGACCTCCTGGGCAGCGAGCGCCTGAGCGCGTAGAATGCTCTTGTTGTGGTCATCCGTATTCCGAATGATGGATGAAAGGAACCGCTTGTTTGTCTTCGGCGCGTTACTGTCGATACTGAATGCATTGTTAGCGCCATTATGTCCTGCCACCACCTTAAAGGTAGCGTACGTACTTGCGGGACAAGTATGCACGAATCCCGTCTTGCTGATATCGTGCAGCCTTCTGCTTCGCCTCTTTGAGGATGAGTTCGGCGACGTGCCGGTCTAGATCGTCGTCCTGCACGGTGGGAGTCACAGAAGAGCCCATCTGTGCCCTAACGAGGTTCGAGACCACAGAGGAGAGCGTTGAGTGGGACATGGCGAGAGCAATGCCGAACAAGAGGGCTCGCAACGCCACCGAGCAGTGCTACCGAGTGCCGCATAGCAATGTTTGTTGATGTTTGGACTGTGGCGGGTCCGTACTCCGCGACGCTCATGCCCATGGGGCTCGGAACAGCACGCACTATGTTTACACCCACCCGATTGGGACCACCACCAGTCGATGACGGCACTCTAATCCAGTGTTATCGCATCTCTCATCTCGACCACCATGACCCACGTCGACGACGCGAACCTCACCCAACGCGTGGCCGTGCGCGGCGACGCGATCTTGACGAACCCGCGATGGAACAAGGGCACCGCGTTCACCATCGAAGAGCGCACGGCGTTCGGACTTACCGGGCGACTCCCTTTCAGAATCAACACACTTGACGAGCAATGCGACAGAGCGTATGATCAACTGGAGGCTCGCGAAGAGCCCCTGCGCAAGAACACGTTCCTCCAGAGCTTGAAGGACCAGAACTGGGTCTTGTACTACGCGCTGCTATCTAGGCATCTCAGGGAACTGATTCCAGTCATCTACACGCCGACGGAGGCGAGTACGATAGCTCCGTTTCCATCTGTCAAGCTTGCAGCTAATATGTCGGACAGGCGGAAGCGATTTCGAACTATTCGCATCTCTTCCGCAGGAGCGAGGGCCTTTACTTGACATTCCCCACCCAGGACTCCATGGAAGCAGACTTCCTGGAACAGACTAAGGGCCGACAAATAGACCTCGTTGTCTGTTCCGATGCCGAGCAAATTCTGGGAATCGGCGACCAGGGCGTGGGGGTAACTATCCAGCGATCCCTGGCTTTTCGCCTCCGACTGACGCAGGAGCGCGCACACAGGGCATAGGCGTGAGTACACAATATTCCTGTGGGCAGAACTCAAAGCATTCTCTCTGGTGCATTGTCTGATGTCAAATACGGTCGCCCCAGCGAGGGCAGCCGATCAGTTCGTGATGTATAGCGCCGACGATACCCATGCGTAGCATCGACGCTATACAGTTTGCTATGCCATAACGACCTACGATCTCTGGATACAATATCCATGACCGTTGTATCCAGAGATTAGGGGATAAGCATAGGGCCTGCGAAAGTGGGCCATACGCGTCTCGAGTCAAATAAAATACCCTCGTCTAGACTCATGCGAACTCCCGGACACCCAGCAGGTCTCCGAGAGCCTCATGTCTGACGCCGAACGGCTCAAATAGGTTTTCCTGACGTGCAACGTTCTACGCCAGTTCAGACCACCAGCTGACTCAGGATAAGTTTTCGTGTCGAGTGAAGTCCCTTAATCCGATGGTCATTATAAAGTTCCCAGACCAAACCGAGTCCATATGCCTTACTCGCGGCGCAAATCCCTTGGGCCCGCCGTGCGAGGTATTTGTGTACGTTGTCAGGAGTCATTGAACTCTCTGGTAAGAAATTGTCGTAAGCGTTTGTTACTTGACGACTTGCTGAGACCCGGAGGGTGCGTAGCATACGATCGCGCCGCATTATACGAGCCCGGACTCTAGGCGGGAGTGCTTGGAGGCCGGACAGCAGCCTGGGAGCACATCGGAATGGACCTCGTCGGGAGGGTCTTGGAAATGATAATCGGAGCTCTTGTCCGATATATGGCACCGGTCACTCACTTCAGAAAACAGATTTCCAGCGCCAAGTCTGCGATCTATACGTGAGTCCGAACTACACTGTCAACCTGTCCGATTTCTCACTGCTCTGCAGACTGCTCGCGGGAGTGAATCCGGCTAGGGCCCTCGCCGTGACCCTGGATGTAGGAACCGACAACGATGACTTGCTGAATGACCGCCTATACGTCGTGCGTTACACGAGCACATTCTGCTGTCAACCCGGCGACTGGAATGCCTGATTGATTTTCAGGGCTGGCCGCACCACCGCGTTCGCGGCGAGGAATACAACCAGTTCATCGACAAGTAAGCATCTTCTTCCCCGCGATACAGAGACCACACCGACATCGATCGCGCAGGTTCGTCCAACTGGTCCGCAAGTACCACCCGCACAGTCTCCTGCACTTCGAGGACTTCGGCGTCACGAACGCGAAGCGGCTGCTTGACAAATACCACGACAAGCACGCGGTGTTCAACGACGACGTGTACGTCACCTTCGTGGCGTCGGCAAACCGCTGCTGACGCTCCCATCATCTCCGAGCAGGCAGGGAACCGGGGCGGTGACGCTCGCGTGCATCATGTCCGCCGTCGGGGTCACGAAGTCGAAGCTCGCTGATCAGCGGTTCGTGGTGTACGGCGCAGGCTCCGCAGGGCTCGGGATCACGCGGCAGCTCCGCGACGGGATAGTGACCATTGACAGCGTCGACCAGGAAGAGGCCAACAAGAGGTTCTACCTGCTCGACAAGAACGGGCTCATCAAGCAGTCGCTCGGCGCGGAGAAGATCAGGGAGGGCCTCCAGGAGTTCGTACGTCCCGATGAGGAGTGGGACGGCGTGCAAGCGAACGACAAGGGCGAGATCGGGCTGCTGGAGGTCATCCGGAAGGTGAAGCCGACGGTGCTGATCGGGTGCTCGACGCACGCGGGCGCGTTCACGGAGGACGTCGTGAGAGAGATGGCGAAGGGCACCGAGCGCCCGATCATCCTGCCGCTCTCGAACCCGAGCAGGCTGCACGAGGTGACGCCGCAGGACGCGAACGACTGGACGGCGGGGAAGGTGCTCATCGCCACGGGGAGTCCCTTTCCCCCATACAAGTTGCCGAACGGGCGGGAGTACATGTAAGTGCCGCTTCTCCGTTTGGCCCTCGCAGCACGCGCGGCGGGGAAGACGTGAGCACTGACGCCGCCTCGCTTGCTCCCCTCCTCGCCTTGTTCTCTCCCCGGCCGCAGCGTGGCAGAATGCAACAGTGAGTCGCCCGCCGCGCCTCGATCCCGCCCGCGTTCTGACCGCCCGCACCCGCCCGGCGCGGCTGTGTTTCTTCGGTGCAGACGCGCTCATCTACCCTGGGCTGGGCTTCGGCGCGATGCTCGCGCAGGCGCGCACGCTGACGGACACGATGATCATCGCGGGCACGCGCCGCCTCGCGGCCCTCGCGCCTGCCCACAAGGACCCCAACGACGCGCTCCTGCCCGACTTTGGGGACGCCCCTGGGGTGAATTACGAGGTCGCCGTCGCGGTCGTCGAGCAGGCCATCGAGGAGGGCAGCGCGAGTGTCAACTGGACGAAGGACCAGGTGCGCGAGAAAGTCGCAGAAGCGCAGTGGAAGCCGGTGTACGGTACGTACGTGTACGATCCGGAGGGCCTCGCGTAGGCCAGCGGGGAAGGAGCGCTGCCGGCATGATTATAACGGACGGAAATACAAGACGGGTGATGTACAGTAGACAGGTGGTTGTGTGCGTCCTTCCATTCCTCGCTCCCCAGAGGCCGTGCGCTGACAGACCGCACAGAACACAGGACGAACGCGTTAAATTGCATGCATGTGCGCACGAACCTTCTCACCACGGACACAAAATGCCAACGGCGAGCCCGAGGGTGGGCGACGCGCCAGGCTCCAGGCCGCAGCGGCTCCGTGCTCGGCGGCACGTGTGCGCGGCAGCCGTCGAAGGGCCTCCAAGGATGATCGTATAGAAAGCCACAGGTCGCTTGCGCAGCCCCACCTGTCCTCGGTCTGCGGTAGAAGGCCGAGGAGTTTGGAAGTCGGCGCGCCACATTTGTCGATGGACGTTGTGGCGGCTGCAGTGCGCCCAAACGCGCAAGTGCAGGGATTAACACGGCGCGCGTTCCATTGAGGTCCATGGTAGAACGCCGACATCGCCGCCACTGGACACCTACTGCCATCCCTTGTCTTCTGCGCGGGTTCGATGTGACACTGCGACAGGAGCCTCCTGAGGAGGACGTTGTTCCCGTCTGCTGCCACGCACGATCCGAGGGTGTCTGCATGGTACGTCCTCGGCTATGTTGCGTATGCGGTTGCGGTGTTACCCTACGCCGTGCGAGCCCGAGGGCAGCGCGCCGCAGGGCCGGCGCCGATACCAACCTTCACGCCACCCCGCGCATCTAGCGGCGAATTACGCTGGTTGAGCGGGTGCTGCATGGCGTCAACAGGCACGCGCAGTCGGCGAGGGTGTTGGACAGGCCGCAAGGCGTGCAGCGTGGCCCGATAATGAATACGGCGTGTCACCGTGAATACTGTCAAGGACGCTGGGCGACGTGCCACCGTCTGGCTGCCGTACGCGGGCCCGGGCGCGCGGGCGGGTACAGCCCGGCAATGCAAATTTGGGTTTGGCGGGCTTCGCCGTCGTACCGCCGCCGGGGCACAGGCGCGGGCCTCTAGGCGTATTTTCTGCTCCGTTCCCCTTGTGGATGTACGTAGACGTCAGCCTGACTCAAGCGGAGAGGCGATGACCAACCTGGTACGCCGTGCGTCCTATGGCATCGCGCGGCTTGACGTTGACAGCAGTGCCCGCGCAGAGAGAACGTTCTGTTCTGCCCCCGTGGGCACTGCGGCAGCTGCGCGGAGGCGCGCACGGAGAAGAGGGCTCGGCGCGCCCGCGGGAGGTGGCGATGTGGGCACGGAATGAGAGTGAGAAGAATGCAATTATGCGCCTGGAGAGTGGAGATGAAACGATCACGAGCAGTGGGCATGACGAACGGGGGTCGGTGAAACGCGCGACGGGCAGGGCTGCGAGTGCGCTTTGGGCGTGTCAAACGACTCAGTGGCCCGTTGCGGCTGTGCGGGCGGGGCACCGTATATATTCGGCGGGACGGGGGCGGAGATCTGGGATCGCGTGCGTGCAGGGCGGCGGGGCGTCGCGGCGGTCGGGTGCTCTCGCGAGCCGCTGCCCAGCGTGCTGCGCCGCGAAAGCAGAACAGGAGAACGTTCATGGCCGACGGGGCCTCTGAGGCCGGAGGCGAACGAGTCAGGGGGGAAGGTGGACGAGATGGACGTGATTCATTCTTATTGTGTGTCTTCCTGCGAGACACGCGGACGGATGCTTCGATGGGCGCGGCGGCAGAGGGCACGGCGGGGCGGGGCAATATCTTTTTGTTGTGCTGGACGCGACTGCGTGGTCCGGTTGCCTGTTTTGATCGGATCTGTTCACACCGCAGGGTTGCGGGCCGCATAAACGGGACACGTCTTATTGTATTCGGGTCGGCGTGCGGCGGGCTTGACACCGCGTGAAATCTTACGGGTGAACAGGATGCTGGGCGAGAACTGTGGGCGCACTGAGAGCGAGAGCAGCAAATAGGAGGAGGAAGTGAGTCTTGGAGAGTCAGGGTGGCGGAGAAAGCGAAAGACAGGTTTAGGCTTTCGAGGGAAGAAGCCGGGATCGTTGACTCGGAGGGCCGGAATAGGCAGGTTCGGCGAGGTTGCGAGATCCGCGGCCGGACGATTGGCTATTGTGGACGGCAGCGGCCGAGGGCGCCTGGCTGACGTCGCGTCTTGGTGCATGCTCGCGCCTCCGGAAAGCGTCTCTCTCCTCCTCCTCCCATGGCCGCCACTATATATACGCCCTCCTGCCCGCCTCTCCCCCTCCCGACCTCCGCCCCCCTTCCCCCTCCTCCGTCCCGACTCCCCCCGCAGCCCTCTCCGCCGTCCACGCAGGTCTGCCAGCCATGGGTTACCTTGGCTTCCTCTTCTTCGCCTCTTCCTCCAAACGAGTGAGTGCTCATTACGCATCGCGTGCTCTTTGTCATCAGCGTGTTCCGCCCAATGTTCTTGGTGCTGACATCACCCCCAGTCCACCACACACGATGTCCAGCCCGACCTGACGACACTCTACCCTCCCAAGAAACCCATCGCGCGGCTCCAGCCGAAGGCACCCTCCGTGCCGATGCCGATGGAGATTGTTATGACCATCCTCGAGTCCGCATACGAGGGCGAGGACGTGCCTGCGTACAACGCGCTCCTCAAGAACACCTCGCTCGTCTGCAAGAACTGGTCCTCTGTTGCCCAGAAGCTCCTCTTCCGTAACGTTACCCTCACCAACCAGACCGCGGCCATTGCTTTCCAACAGGCTGTCGACCGTGCGACCCCAAGAGGTTGCTACCTTGGCGATGCCGTAGTCCGCATGAAGGTCGTGTTGGACCAGAAGCAGCGCTACCGGCTTTCTCACAAATCGTTCGCACGCGCCGTCTCCCTCTGCCCCAACCTTTACGAACTCAGCGTCTCATTGTACGGTGAAGGCGCTCCGGGTCTGGACATCATCGGGTCGCCGGATGCTTCGCGCATGAAGAGGTCTGCACCCTCGTTCGACGAACGCACGCTCGACATCCTTCGCGCCGGCCCGCAGATCTCGGCGCTTCAGTTCTCCAACTGGTCCGACAACAGCTCCTCGCTTCTCCAGCTTCTCGACGTGTGGCCCTCGCTCACCTCGCTGGACATCAGCGGCACGACGCCCCAGCTCGAGCGCGATAACGCCGAGCCCTTCCCCTGCGTCCTGCGTGAGCTCCGGACTAACTTCCAGTCCTCGCCCTCCATGGAGTTCATGCGGTGGCTGTTGCACAACTCCGTCGGCAGTCTCAAGGTCCTGGATCTCGCCCGCGAGCCCCACCCAGATATGCTCGAGTACTTCATCTCTGAGCACGGCGCGACGCTCGAGTCCCTGTCTCTCCCTACATGCGGCACTCACGAGGCCGCGGCCGCGGTGCGGAGATGTGCGGCGCTGCGCGAACTCAAGATCGAGGGTGCCTGGGCGTCTCCAAGGGTGTACCAGACGTTGCCCGCTGGCCTGCAGCACCTGGCGTTCAGCGTCGATAGCGACACCGCGCTCCTGCCTGTTATTCAGGCCATCAAGCGGAGCACGGACGTCCGCGTCGTCACGATGCATGTCTGGCACGGCGGTGACAAGCACCCCCAGCTCTCCGCGGTTCGCATTGCTTGCACTATCAAGGGCATCGAGCTCAGGCAGACCAATGACGTTCCGGCGTTCCGCGCGATCACTGTGCGTCCTCTAACTTTCCTTTCTGCCAAAGTAGCGCTAACTTTGCACCTCGAATACAGCGCGGTGATCCGGTGCCCACATCCACCTATCCCCGCACTCGGTCGTTCAACAACCTCCTCTACATGGCTTCATGCGCTTCCACGACCCTCTAACCGATTGACATCTGCACCATCTAAGATTCGCCCACCATCGCGCGCTCGTCGCGTGTTAATTCCCACCTTGTATCCACATGTGCCTTGTTGCTCCTGATCGGACACTGGCCCATTTGTGCTCCATCTGTATCCATCCCCGTCACTCACGTCTCTACACACATTCGAACACATGTCCCATCATCGCCCCGCACGTCACGACCAACTCACGACCCTCACTCACCGTCTCTGTCCTCGCATACATTTGGCTCATAATCTATTCCGTGCACATATCCACCGTTCGCACCGCGCTTCGTTCTCCTCACCCACACGTGTCCCGCATCGCACATCCCGACTCGCTCACGGCTCGCACTACCGACATCGACTCTCCGACTACCAGAATGACCAATAGATTCGCTGTCTACGCTCCGCTCTCGCGCTCGCGCCCCGCTATGCCAAGTTCCCCGTAATCGACCGCGCTGCTCTCTCTCTCGCTATTCGTTCACCCCGCCCCGCCCTGCGCCCGGCCGTCCCCACTCTGCACATATCCCCGCTCAAGTCAGCTCAGCTCGCACCCGCCACGACGTACACGTACACCCGCCCCCCAGCGCGCTCCCGCTCCCCGCGCGTAATGTGTACAGCAGCTCTACGATATGCGCGCCCGACGGACGGACGGGCTAATCCGCCCCGCGCGCGACCACGCCGCTACGGGAAGGGGGCTCCTCCGTCGCCGCAGGGCCGTGTCTGCCACTTTTTATTCTCTCGAGGAAGGAGGTCCCTTTTTTGGTTTACCCATTCCGCCGCATTCGCATTCGTTCTTGACCTCGTTCGTTACGCGTTGTTCTGTTCGCCACCTTAGAGTAAGCCCTCGCGCGCCCATATTTGATAATTTTATACATCTTTGCTTTACGGAGCACCCAGTCCCAGTCCCTCCTCTCACGCGTGCATCCACTCTCGAGCCCGAGGAACGAAGATCCTCCAGACAACCGTGAGTGTGTCTCGCACGGCGGCGCCGCGTTACGTTGCTTGTGGGTGCTTCTGTACACCGCGCGCCGCGCGCGCGGACCCCGTTACGCCCGAACATGAAGCTGATCAGTGCGCATGCGTCCGCGGGAATAGAGCTCCGGGCCTTTTAGACGAACGCGCGGCGTCTCCGGAGGCCTCGGGTGTTGCGCGGCGGAGTGCGCGTTGCTTTCATTTTGGCTCGCGAGCGATGGTGGCGCCGGACATGTGCCCCGCTCGAGCTGTGGATTTTCCCGCCGGCGACTCGGACTGGGGGGTGCGCGCGGTGGGCCGGTGCGTGCGGAGTTTGGGAATCACTGGGACTCAGGGGACGGTGGTCGTTGCAAGAACGAGGATACCGGATGCGGACGTGCACTCCGCCACGATGTGAGCGCCCGTGGGAGTTCTGCGTTGATCGACGCGCGCAGGTTGGCTTTCTTCCGCGTCGACGTGCGCCCTCTTTGACTCTCGAACGCGTCGTCGGTCGTATTCTGGCTATACCTAGACGGACGAGCAGGGCACGACATTACCCACGGGAGCCTTAGGTCGTACCGACGCTGCAGGTCGGGCGAAGTTTTGGAAGATCAGACGCGCCATGCTCCTCCCACTCGTTGCACTCCGCTGCATATGTGCATAACAATAAGCCTTCGCGCCTGGCCGGGCGATTCTCGGTCTGAGGGCCTGTTCTCGTGCGCTCCAGAGGGCGACTAGCATCGCGAAGTTCGAACCGGTGTCCCTTCCACTCACTCCGCAGCAACCAGCCAGACGACCATCTGTTCAACTGTCCAGCTCTCCACGACCATACCGAACGCCTGCTGCAGCAGGCCACCGATTCCCGGACACAGCATAGACGGTCAAGATAGAACTTCGAAGGCGCGTTCATCATCTCATCACCGTTTCCAGATACCCTTGGGCGGGTGCGCTGCCTGGCATCATCTTCTAGGGGCCGTCTGTCGCGCTGGTGCTGCGAACTTACCCCTAGGGGCCGTATCTGGATGTACCTAGAACAACGTGGCTCGGTACCCGTGGCATCGGGATGTCGCTCAGACGATGCGCCGCGGACGTTTCCCCTATACGTCGGAGCGCTGCGCAGGAAACGCGATACTGATACTGCGAACTGCCTAGGTCTCCTCGGATAGAACGGTAAGAGCCCCTCCAACGTGATACCAGCCAATATCGAACTTGATGCTCATTCTTTTCTCCGTCAAGGAGATGCCAGACGTCGTGGTGGCCACCAGTTATCGATTTCGTCCTTTCAAGTTCGGATCTTTCACACCCGAGTTGACCATAACGAAGATGAACACCACGAGCTCACATCGAACAGAGTTTTCTTCTCTGATATTAACAGACTGCGGTGTTCCGCTACTGCGACCTTATGCGCCAGGGGCAGCTTCGCCCGAATGTTCTGCGCTGCCAGGCCGCCCTATCCGGCGCTGCACTTCCTCTGGATCACGCTCGTGTTGACATAGCTCCTGCTACTGACCGGATTGCGCTGTCTCCCTGTGGCAGATGCGATGCAATGCGCCACTGTTCATCTATGTGGCCCTCACCACAGTCAGCGCGTCCCGTAGGGCGCACGCGCCCGGAGTGATTTGGGTCACCGTAGTGCCCCTCTCTATGTGACGCTGCATACTATATAGCTTGACCTGCGGCCGAGGGTACTCTCCATCCAGCAACAGTTCTTTACCGGCATCTCTCGACTTCACACACACGACCTATACCCTACTTCGTACTACTACTACAGCCAGCCATGCAGTTCTCCTCCACTCTCTTCTACGCTTGCGCCCTTGCCCTCGCCGCCTTCGGTGTGCAGGCTGCCGACAACTCTTGTGAGTCCCTCCCTGTGGCCATGTCCCGATGCTTGTATGCTAACAGCTCTCGCGTTCCCACAGCGTCCGCCGCTTCGTCGGGCAGCGCCGTCGCCTCCGCGTCCGCCGTAGCCAACAGCACCTCCGCATCCGCCGCAGCCAACAGCACCTCCGCGTCCGCAACGGCGTCGGGATCCGCATCCACATCTGCGACCGCCGCCAACACCACCGCGACTAACGGGACGACGAAGAAGTACGTGTGCCTTTCGCCCACCCGCTTTTCGAGTCTACAGTTTGCTAATATCACACCCTTCGCGTACAGCCACGCGCTCCAGGGCGCCGTCCTCGACTACTCTGTCCTGTACGGGGCCGCCTCGCTCCTCGGCGGGACCATCCTCGGCGCGGTCACCGTGTTGTAGGGCGCGACATTGGCACGGACACCGCCTTCCACTTGCGGATGCAGTTGCGGTTATGGCATGGACTTCTAGAGGAAATTGATGTATCTCAAATCTGTCATTCACATCGCATCTTTGACCTATGACTACGAATATGACGCCCGATCTGCCAAATTGAAACGTCCAGCAGTGCTCGTGATAGAACCGGTCTGATCCCCTATGAATGATCGCTCCCAACTTCCGAAAACCCGAAAAAGAGGCATACGAATGGGCTGTCTTCCAGTGTCAACGACGTTCGTACAAGCTGGCTATGAGTGTTCGAAGGGCGTTGCGAGTACTTCAAGATCACTGAACCACTGCGCAAAGCTACGGCGTGCGTAGAAGGGCCAACAGTCCAGAATACCGCCCAACGACCTCCCAGTATGCTACCGCAGTCACGGAGATACTACGCACCGAAGGCAGTCCGTCGCCACATAGATGGTTAGTTCCTTTCGCACCGCTCACACTCACTGCGTCGCCCGATGCGCTAGACCGAGTCGCCGCTGACCACAGTCGTGCATGCAGTGCGGCTTATGGCAGGTTTCGCAATCATGCGGGTGCCTTGACATCGACCCTGCCATGGCATATAAGTGATATCACCCGCCCCGCGCAGGGAGCAGAGCAGACTTACTCTCCCCCATCTTCTTTCTTCGCTTTAGCCTGGTGCTACCTTTCTCTTCACTTTCTTATCTTCGCTCGCCATGAAGTTCATCCAGTCCTTTTCTGTTTTTGCTCTTCTTGCTCTCGGCGTGCAGGCTGCACCACACGCAAAGCGGGATGGGAGTTCCAGTGCTAGTCAAAGTATGTATCTCCGACGGGTTGTGAGCGGTAGACGTCTTGGAACTGCGGTACTGAAGAGCGTCGCTAGGCGCAAGCAGCTCTAGCTCTGCGTCCTCCACGTCCCTTGATCCACGTACGTTGCGACTTCCACGCCTGTGGCGAACCGTTCTGACAGCCGTTTGGTAGTCTCGGTCCTGGCTTCGGCGTTCCGTAAGTACTCTCCTGTGCCTGAGGCGCAAACGTGTACTTCGGTGCTCACGATTGCATGACACATTCAGCGTCCGCCGCAACCTTGACAAGCCCGGACCAGATCGTGACGGCCATTCAGGCGAACTCGCAAGCTGCGGCATCTGCAGGTATGTCTCCGCACGCTGTTTCGATCGCGAATGCGACCTCACGAAGAGCGCTGTATAGTGGGAACTGGGGCTGTCCTGGAGCTTGAAGGTTAGCCGGTAAACGTGTACGAAACGTTTCACATCATGCTCACCTGCCGCTCCAGCCTCCCTCGTGATGGCGCAGGCCATGACAGCGATCTCCCCCACAGAAACGCAATTGTCTCTCTTCTTGGCTGGTGAGGCCACCGAAACGTATAGATCCGCCTACTTGCCTTAACCCAGGTCCCCTCAGATGTCGCGGGTACGCCTGTTGTCCAGGTATCCTCCATTGGCGGGCCGGCAATTACGCTCGCGACGGGAACTGCTGCGAGCGCCTTCCCGACCTCGTTCGCGGGACACGTCTTCACTGCGGCTCCGAAGACGAAGTGCGTGTGTATTCAATTCTTATGCGAGCTCTTGCTGACTGGGGCTGTGTTCTTAGCCACGCCGTTACGGACCTGAAGTTCCCGAAGGCTCTGGTGGCCGGTGCGCTGACGATGATTGGGAGCATCGCTGTGGGTGCCATTGCTGTATTTTGAGGACGAGACGCAATGTAGCTGGATTCGCCGTCTTTCAACAATGTCACGGCGTCAGTAGGCTTATACGAGAAGAGCGTCGGAGGAATAGCATACCGCTGACTCCACCCAGGAACTCTCGTAGAACGCTTGCTTGCGTATTCGATCACGAGACACTTTGACCATCCTCAGCTCTGCATGAGGCTGCATCAATCCTGGAAGTGATCGCCGCCTCGTCAGATGCTACTGTATGTGGACGGCGAGGACACCGTCGATGTTGCAGCGGGTACGGTGCCGGTCTTGAAATGGACTTACAGGGAATTGGTACATCTGTTGTTCAGCTAAGATCCCGAGCGCGTTTAGGACAGACATGGCCCGATGCTCGTCGTGATTGCATCATTCACCGCTAACTTGGATATGACGCCGATCTGCCAAACTTTTATCAGTGTTGGTTCGGATAGCACCGCTCTGGCGACTAGTACGAGTGCCGGTGGTTCCTGGTGCGTTATAGGGCGGATACCCAAAGGGCTGTCTGCATGTCTACAATGTACGCCGGTATAAGGATATCACCCGAGGACTGTGGCATTCGTGAAGAGAGGAACCACTCACCGGAGTCGGAACTATGGCCCCTAGTGCGAATGCGTGGATTACTGTGGATCGCCTGAAATACAGCCCAATTTGAACGACTGCCATGCTCCCGCAGTCTAGTTAACTCTGTGCATCTGGCGAGATCGGTCCGCCGCTGACGATCGACATGTTGCAATTTTTCGATATCATGCGCTTGCCTTGGTGTCGTCCTCCAAGACGTATATAAGCCACGCCATCTACCTCGTGCAAGCAGCAGAGAGGACTCACCCTTCTCCCTCATTTTCTCCTTCTCTTTAGCCTGGTGCTACCTTTTTTATTCCTTCATACTTCGCTCGCCATGAAGTTCATCCACTCCCTTGCTGTCCTTTCCCTTCTGGCCCTCGGCGTGCAATCTGCGCCACACACAAAGCGGGATGGGGCTTCCAGTCAAGCGACCTTGGACGTCGCCGGTATGCCTGTCGTCGAGTTATCCTCAACCGGCAGCGCGGCGATCGCGACCGCGACCGCGACGGTCACCGTGCCACACATCCGCCGTAAATCTTCGGGGTCGCATAGTCATGGACTAGGCCTAGGTCCAGGAGCTCATGTTCCGGCGCATTCGAAGTGCGTATTCCTTCACCTCTCACAGGTGCTCTGGTCGCTGATTGAGATTGGGTTTTAAGTCATGCGACTCCCGGCCTCAGCATCTCGAAGACTCTGGCGGCCAGTGCGCTGACGATAGTCGGAAGCATCACCATCGGTGCTGTTGCGGTGCTTTGAACACGACTCGACTGGTGATCCTGTGTATCGGTGTATCAGTACATTAAGCAAAGCCTTGAACCGAAAACATACCGGCGATCGAGCCTATCGTCATCGTTGAAGGCTCCCATGGGGAAGAGAGTTTGCCTTCTCCCTCCGAACATGAGGCTTCAAGCCACGCTCGTCACGGTACTCGATACAACACACGGGGTAGTGTACATCCACTTCTGCTCCCTAGACATACAGCCGCCATACGTCCTTACCAAATCAAAGCCAGACTCACTTAGACGACCTAAGGAACCACAGACTGCTCTTTCCACTTATCACCGTCCCTGGTGAAGATGGTGCGGCGGTTCGGCAGTACCCCCAGCGCCGCCCAGTCCACCTCTATCGGCTCGAAGAGCATGAGCGCGAAGTTGCTCAGTGCTGTCGCCGCGTTCTTCTGGTCCTCTTCGCTCTCGGGCTCCGAGGGGACCTTGCTGGGCCATGATTTCTGCTCGTCGGTGCTCGCGAGCGGCGAACCCGGAGGATGAGGGGAACACCAGCTCGCGCGCATGCCCGGGCTCATCGTGTTGTACAGCTCGATGCGCTTTGCGTCCCAGTCGAAGCCCTGGTCCTCGAGCGTCTTGAATGCGATCGCTCCAGAGGGGACGGGCGTAGGAGATGTGTCCCCGGGTGCGGATGCCGAAGGGAAGATGCGCACGAAGCCGGAGAGACGAAATTGGTCCTGTGAGCCCTCCATCCACCATGCGAGCTCGACGCGCTGATTCGCGCGGACCTGCGCGACTTTGGGGCTGCGCGCGTCCGTTGAGGTGACCAGGACTGGAAAATCTGGGCGACCCTCTGGGTTCATAAAGGCCCGGTGCACCTGGGAACGGACGTGGGGTACATTGCGCGCGTCGACAGTCGCGACCTGGTAAACTAGATGCAACATGTAGCGTGAATACTCGCCAGGATATCAAGGACCCGTGTACGCACTGACTTTCCCCTTGTTATCGGGGTGGCTGAGAGCCTTGTTGATCGCTTCGACCCATCTTGGAGCAGCAGACATAGCGCGAGAGTCGACTGAGGCGAGCTATTGTGCAATGCTTTGGAGACGTTGTACGCAAGCTGTGTGCGCGGTGGTGGTCTGAGTGAGAGTTGCGCGGGACTCGAACATGGCGGATGTGAAGGGAAAGCTCGACGTCAGTGACCGGCGCCGGACCGATCACCACTCTGACCAAGACCGCCATCTCCTCCGCGCTGCTCGCGATGTCCGCTCTGTCCTTGTTTTCTGCTGGCTCGAATGCTCGCGGACAGCTTGCGACAGGAAATCTCGAGGATGCCTACCAATTCAGGCCTTGCATATTCTCTGGGGTCGCGTCAGGAGACCCGCCGCCAGGGACAGTGGCTATCGAAGACATCTCATGCGGCGCGAATCATACACTTGTTCTGCTGCTTCGGAGCGACGGAAAGACAGAGCTTTGGGGCTGTGGTGATGGGAGTAGAGGTCAGCTGGGGCCATCATACGTCGCGGCCGTGGAAGGGGCGGGCGGAGAAACGGCAAACGCGACGGCGGTCTTCAGATTGCTTGAGCTCAACTTACATGCCCTCAAATCCCGCGAAGAGGAGCCTCTCCATGAATATACGGTGCGCCTGATTGCCGCGGGATGGGAGACCTCTTACACTGTGCTATCTTGTCCAGGCCGGGACGACGTACTCCTCTCCATGGGTGCAGACGACTTCGGGAACCTCGGTGTAGGTGGAACGCGTTCTCAGACATTTCAGGGCGACACGAGACCACCCATCAATATTGTCCCACTGCGTGGTCCTATACAGGCCGAAGATGCGGAGACTACTTTGACGGTGCTTGAACTATCCACCGGACCACATCATACAATCGCGCGCTTTCTGCTAGCTTCCCCCGACGGATCTACTGAGACGTATGTTGTAGGCTGGGGAACCGCTCGGCATGGCCAACTAGGACTCATGTCCGACGACGCCGGCCGTCCTCTCCCGTTCACGCCGCACCCAGTCCTCGTACCCATATCTTCCTCGGGGCACATAACCCAGCTTGCTTTGGGAAACCAACACACAGTCTGCCTCCTCTCGTCCGCAACCCTCCTCGCACTCGGTTCCGACCGAAAGGGACAACTCAGCGGACTTAATGATCTCTGCGAGGTCGAACACATCGGGTGTACGTGGAACGGGACATACGCGCTCCTCGGCTCAGGCGAGGTCGTCGCGACCGGGAGCAATTCGCATTCGCAGTTGGGACGCGGAACAGGCGGCCAAGGGCTCGAGGAGACGATTGGTCCCGTAGCCTTCCCATTTGGATCCGATGCTGGGCGAGTCGTGCAGATGGCTTGCGGGAGCGAGCATGTACTGTGCGTCGTGGAGCGTGTTGGGAACGCGGAGGCGGTTCCGCGAAGAGAGGTGTGGGGCTGGGGCTGGAATGAACATGGAAACCTGGGCACCGGCGGGACGGAAGATGTGGACACCCCCGTGAAGATCTGGCCGCGGTACGGGGACGAGCAAGGATGGGTGGCGAACGTATGGGCTGGATGTGGGACGAGCTGGATATTAGTGCAGCGGTGATACGCCGCCGCGCTGACCGAGGTGGGTGTTTGTATCACAGATGCTTCTTATTCAGCGACTGACAGAAATCAAAGCACCCTCGCTTTATGAACAGGCAGGAGCGTTCAGACCTCGCCTTTCAAGCGACCCATGAGATGTTGTCCGGTCAACGCTATAGCGTCCTCGATTCGTGAATACTAACAAACTGAAGATACTATGTACAATATCAGCGACCTTGAAAGCAGGCGACATTCCTACGACGAAGTCCATGACTATCGCGATATACTTCTTCGTTACATGCGCAGCTCTATCTCGGACAAGCTAAGGTTTTACCGTTACGTAGGGCGAGATATATAGGTAGGGAGCTGGAGAGGACATAGGTGAGCAGGAAACAAATACAGAGCACGGTTCTGATACCCAGCATCACAGAAGAAACTCAAGAAGAAATACATCGAAGTCCCGTCCTCTGCCAGTCATCAGCTTCGCTGCACCCACGCCCGGCTCATCGCATCTCGGGGTGGGTCTCCTGCATAGCTTCAGCTACCGCGCGAATATCGCGGCGGTGCTTCGCTCGCGGGGATCTCCACCGTCGTCCTCTGTTCGAGCTCACACCGCGTCCGGAGACTCGCAACCTCGTCTCGTAGGACCTGTATCTCGGCCTGCAGCGCGTTGTCGTGGGCCGTGTCTGGCACTGTTGGCGCTGCCCCGGCTTCGGGGGTGGGGTCATCCGCGGGGTCAGCTAGAAGGGCCTGCATTTGCGCTTCGAGCAGCTTGATTTGGTACGCAATTTCAGCCTGGCGTTGTGTGCGTTTAGCGGACAGAGGCACAGGTGGCCTGATGTTGACCGAAGCAGACACGGGTGTTTCGGCGTGCGCAGACGGGGATGACGCTACAGTTGCCCAAGTCAGTTCATATCGAAGGTGCCCGGGGCAAGTGCGACGTACGGTCGGACAAAACATCCGTATCTGCGGGTTGCCCCTGGTCATACCCAGCCGCAGGCGGTATGTGAGAGACAGAAGGCAGGCCCGGGGGAGCATGCACCGAAACCTCCGTCGTGCCTGACACGCTGGGCCGCGGATGATATTGATGGACAGAAGCAGCAGCCCCGAGCCCGCCGTTGCCACTCCCGGCGGCGCGCAGCTGCTTCTCGTCGTCGTCTCCGGCGAGCGAGCGAGCGCGCCGCGACCGCCGGTGGAAGTAGATGATCGTGCCGACGATGATGGCGAGCAGCGCGAGGCCGCCGATCGTGCCCCCGACGATGACGCCGGCCGTGGTGGATCCGTGCGAGCCGTGGTGCCCGCCCCCGCCGCCATTGCCGCCACGGAAGCCGCGCGAGGACCCGTCGTCGGTGTCGGACTCGGATGTCGGTGTGGAGGAGGTGCTGGAGGCTGGGGACGAGCTTCCGTCATCATTTCCATCAGCGCCGTCGGAGGTGGAAGTGGGGGTTGAGGAAGAGTCAGAGGGGGAGATCGAGGTAGAAGAGGAGTTGGTGGTGGAGGAGGGATCGCCATCGGAACCGCCGCCCTCCCGGTCCCGGTCTCCGCTGCCGTGCCATCCGCCACCGTGTCCCCCAAACTCGTCTCGGGCGGTATACACGATGTAGTCAAACAACACGTCGGGGGTGGCGGGCCCGGACGTCTCGACGCGGAGAGTGTGGGTCCCATGCGGGACGCTGGTGTTGGTGTACACGGGGACGTTATACTGTACATCCTCTTCTCCATCCGACACGTAGGTGAACGTGCCCACGAAGTCGTCGTCGAGGAAGAACGCGAGGCCAGCGGACCCTGCTGTAGCCGCAGCCGCGTTCGCAAGGATATGGTACACATACACGGCGCTGCCCTGGAACGTCGCCGTGACCGTGCGCGCCTCCGTGTCGTCAGGGTCGTATGTGGCCGCATGCCACGTTCCTTGGAAAGCTTGCAGGGGGTCGACGTCGGCCGTCCCGCCCTGTGTCCAGGCGTCGGCGGGGGCGTAGGTGGGCACGACGCCGGAGTTGCTGTCGCCGACGTCGTCATCGATCGTGTAGTTCACGCTGCGTGCGGCGGAGGGGGCGGAGCCGAGTAAGAGCAGTGCGAGAAGGAGCGCGCAGAAGAGGTGGGGGAGCGTGGGGAGGGAGCGGGGTGGTGGCATGGCGCGGATGCGTCGTTGGACCGGCCTGACATGCAGCACGCGATGCGTCAGAAAAGGGCGGTCCAGCCGGAGAGAAAGCAAGAAACTGGCGAATAAAGGGACGTCAGTTCAGCGGGAAGAGTGAAGAGATGAAAGGGAACGGCGGGGGGTGCAGTGGCATCCACATACCGCGGATGCGTGTGGCGCCAGCATCTGCGGATGCAATAGGTTAGCGATTTTGACTGTCCCACGGGAGGTTCGAAGGGTGTGGCGATGGAGACTAGTTGGCCGGGTCGCAAGCCGGTCGTGCCTACGCACAGGCTCGAAGTGATGGAGTGCTGTCAGATCTGCCGCATGCACAAGCATCAACGATTGTCGCTCGCTGGGGAAGCATGGCTTTTTGACCGGCCGCCGGAATATCAGGAGAAGGCGGATTAGTTGCGCAGTGGCCGGAGGAGTCGGACGGGCGAACTGACCATTTGAACGTGTCTGAAGGTGACAGACAAGCGATATTGATTCAATGATTGGCCCACGATCTGGCCGGTGGTGCTCTTCTGGGAATCGTCTCACTCTTCTTTCGAGGATATGTGCAAATGTGTGTCCCTAATAACAAAAACAATCAAGGCTTCATCGATTGAACGAAGTAATGGGAACTTGGACCTACACGGCGACAAGGCTGCTGCTTAGGGGGCGAGGGTCGATGGCGACCATCCACATGTCCCACTGTCAACGCCTGTAAAATGGATACGTAAAATGACCACAATATTCCCATGTGAACCCCCGTCGTCGGAGAGAAGTTGATGAGCGCAGCGGACGTTGCTCTGCGGGCGACGCGGTCACGTGCGCACGCGATCACGTCCCGAACGCGTCCTCCGAGATCGACTTGGCCGCCGAGCGCGTCCCCGATACTTGGCGATCGACAACTTGTTTGAGTTTGTGTGCACCTATGGGCGTGGTCGGTGAGTGAGGGATGCCAAGGGGTATCTTAAGCCTGTGTCAGCATATGTTCCTCCCGGTTGTCGCAGCGCAAACCTGAGAGCCACATGGGCGCACTGCGGTCTGGAGGAGCAGCTGAGGAAGCAGGATGTCCGACCACATATCTCAAACACCCGCTTCCCCACTGATTTGTCCATCTCCTGCGGCGAGCCTATCTCCCGCCGGCATTGCGAAGGAGGGTAGATACGCCATATCCACAGTACATCCATGATCGGGCACAACAGCTTTCCGTGATCGTGGCCTCGATGTCATGCACGATGCATTCCAGTCTGAGCTCGCTGAATGTCAAAGCCTGACAAGATGACGCCTTTTTCAAATTTCCCATGCTACCCAGGGCCAACTGATAGCCCATCAGGCTCAGACAACGCAAAGGAAAACGCTACTGTCGATGCGGTGCAGGAGCTGTGAGGAATCACTTCATGAACATTCACGCACCGAATGCTTCGCTGACTCCATAGGTATCTTCGAGAGTACTTGAACACCCAGGTCTGCTCCTGAACAACATTTTATCTATACTTACAAAGTTCAATGATCTCGGCCAACGTGTATAGGGCGCAGTTGCCCGAGGGCAGCCCCGAGGGTCGTATCGACCATGAGGCATGTCAAAATGCGGCGGATCTTCGCCGCAGCTGCAGATAGCTCCAGCGTAAAAACTATGCAAGCGGGTCTGAAATGGATGTTAGAGTGCTGTATATTCATCATCTAGGAGCCTTCGTAAGTCGGTGAAGTGCGGATACAGCCTGGAAGAGAGCGGTCGAGGCTGGGAAGGGTGAGGCAGAGAACAAGGAACAGGGGCGGGTATTTTGAGACTCGGCGTTATGGGCGGGTCGGTAACTAAATTAGGCAAGTAATAATTAGACGCCCGTCAAAGTAGGAACACGATGGCGACGCGCCCGCTCCGCCCATCACCCCGCATTTCTCTCTCCTTCTCCCATCTCCTCGCCAGCTTCTCACTGCCGCTGCTGCTGCGGCCTCCGACGACGCTCAAAAGCTCAGCTACGACGTGATACGGCATGCCGCGCGAGAACAGCTTCAGCGACTCGGATGGCCGCTCGCTCACTCCAGACCTCGACGAAGGGCTCGCAACATCCCCTGTCTACGACGGCCCGACTGCAGAGAAGCTACCAAGCGTGCGCCCCCATGTCAAAAATGAAGACATACAATCGTCACCGTCGCTCATCAACACCTCCCCCCAGCAGACTCGCCGGTCGCGAGAGGCCAATGCGACCTCTCCAGTCACGTCCCCGCTCGGGGCCCCGCCTCCTACTAGCGCACAAAGGCCATCATTCTTGACGCCAGCGGAGCGATTCCGTTCAACTGTCCGCAAAGTGATGGCGATGCGGCGGACATCTTCGCTGATGGTCCGCCGCGGTGTCGGCGCCGAGCCTGGTATCGACCCCCGCCGCGCATCCGCGTTCCTCAGCTACGGCCACATCCGGCAGCAATGTCTCATCGAGGTCAACGACTATTCAACGATGCGGACAAGCTTTGGACGGATGACGAACGCGGAGTTTATTCGTCTGCTCGCAGACAGCAGCGCTAGCCGGAGGGAGCCGTGGGTGAAGGTTCGCTGGATCAATGTGGGCGGTATCAGCTGGGACGTCGTCAGCGCGTTGGCGCTCAAGTACGGTACGCCTCCATCTTCCCCGCTCGCAACTGTCCGAACCGGACAGCTCGCATCGAACGATGGTATGCTCATCTCTAGTGGCCAGACATGCACCCCCTGGCGCTGGAAGATGTACTGCACCAGCGCGGAAACGCCCGATCCAAGGCCGATTACTACAACAAGCACCTCTTCCTGCGTGTCCTGTGTCATTCCCTGTCAAACGATGATGATACCGGCGGCCCTAACATTTCGCACCTTCCCCGTTCGGAGTCGCCCACAAACATGGATGATGACGACGAAGAGGACTCCGAGTTCCAGTTCGGCAAGTCGGGGAAGGCCGCCGAGACCGACGTCGACGACGAGCGCACGATGTACGGCAGCGCGAACGCATCGCGCTTCTCCACCCAGCGCGGTAACGGAAACACGCTCCGCCAGCGCTTCGGCCGCGCGGACGTCGAGAGCCCGCCTGCGCCCAATCTGGCGCGGTTCGCAGGCTTCGAGGAGGAGGTCAAGGCGAACAAGGACGCGCGCAACCGCAAGCTGCTCCGCGAGCTCAAGCGCGGGGACCGCGTGAACGTGAACATCGCGCCGCTGTGCATATTCCTGATGCGCGACGGGACGGTCATCTCGATGCACAAGGGTGAGTGCGCGCGTGCGCTTCGCGTCGGGAAAAAGGGTGTGACTGAACTGACGACTGCAGACAACACCCTCAACTTCACTGCGCCGATTACTGAGCGATTGCGGCAGCGCGATACCGGTCTGCGTACAACTGCAGATCCGTCGCTGCTGGTCCAGTCACTATTGGATCTCGGTGAGTCCTTGCGTCGCCGTGTACGACAAGTTGTGGTACTGACGAGACTGAAACACAGTCGTGGACCAGGCCTTGGAGGTCGTCGACGAGTACCAAGGCAGGATTTTGAAAATCGAGCAGGCTGTGTTGCTGAAGCCGAGCATGAAGACGGTCCGTCGGCGTAAGTGCAGATCAGGCAAAGTCAGGGTGGGGGTAAAGACTGATGTGTTGTCGGCGGCGCAGTGCATATCCTGCAAGGCGACCTCATTCTGCACAAGCGAACGCTCGAGCCTATCAAGACCGTCATCTACGGCCTGCGGCGGTACGACGTAGACCGGGTAATGGCGCTCAGGGAGCACGTCGACCCGAACGCGAAGGTGGAAGGGTACATGAGCCACAAAGCCAAGATCTACCTCGTACGTAGTGTCCGCTCCAACCGTGTCCAAACTCTGACCGGGAATATCGGGTTTCCTCCGACTGGTTGTCGACGCTCAGGCGGATGTACACGACCACATGGAGTATATCTTGACGAGCCTCGACATGATCGCGGGGATCACGGACAACCTGATCAACTACACGTTCAACGTGAGTTTTCCTCCATACACGTTAACGCCTCGTCGGCTGTCAGCATTTGGTACTCACGCACCCGTATATGCACAGATGGCGTCCTATGATATGAACGAGACGATGTGAGTCTAGCCTTTCTCGTCGCGCCCTTTTTTTCTGCACCGGCGAGCTGGCTCGTCTGCAGCAGAGGAGGCACCGCCTGCTGCGGCCTGCCCGCGCGGCGCATGTGCGCGAAGTACAGAAGCAGCGGCTAACCATCGGCACTCTTTCTAGGCGCCAACTCACTCTCGCGACGATTATCTTCCTGCCGCTAACGCTGCTCACGGGTTACTTTGTACGTGTAGACCCCTGTTGCATTCCCATCGTCCATCGATTGTGGGTGTCGTCCCAAAACGTGTGCTAACGGCCCGCTGCCTGCAGGGAATGAACTTCGCCACCATGCCGTCCGTCCAGGATCACAGCGACGCCTTGTGCGTTTCATTTTTTATTACCCGGATGTCACGCTGCAAGCCATGGACTAATCATTTGCGCTTGGTAGGTTCTGGGAGATTGCGATGCCTGTAATGGTCGTAGTCGTGGTGCTGTTCATGCAGAACGACATCAAGCGCATGATACACTACCTGAGCAAGCGCATGACGCGTCATCGCATCAAGAAGGTACGTGTCTCCCCTGGAGGAACGAGGGTTTTAATGTTAATATGGCCGCAACAGAACTACCGCCCCAAGCGTGCCTAGGGCTTCGGTCCAAGTGCCGACCCCTGTCGTCCTTGTCTATTCGCTGTTAGATTATATCGTCGCTGTTGCTGTGCGTGCTCTCCCCCTCTCATTACGGATCCTTGGTTGGCGTCGTTTGAGTATAACCATCTGTGAATATGATACCTGTATGTGCATACCGGATACTAACGATACTGATACTCTGGGCCGGGCTGCCCTACATACACCGCTCCCTCCCACATCCCACGTTCACGAGTTCCCCTGTCGTCATTACATTACCATCTACCCGATTTTACGATCGCTGTCCCGCTCAGTACAATATATTATGCGACGCCGTGCCTCACGCTCCTTGCTTTGTAACTATCCCCACGGACACACTACAGGAACGTGGTTAATCCACACTTTTAGATCACACGGCCAAGAACGTAAGGCCTGGGCTACCCCACGGCCTCTACACGTTGGGCATATCTCCTCCCTTGTGCACAAAGAGGCACAGGCGCGGCGTCCGATGCAACCGGGGCATGCGCGGGGCGCGCTGCCCAAGATTCAAAGGGATCTGTACTCAAAACACCGGGGGCAGTGGTCTTGCGCGACGCGGTGCAGCCAAGTACACCAGCTCTAGACTTCCCGCCACAAGTGGTATATGGCCTCCCCCGTACACAGCAGGGTTTCGTGAGTGAGGTGTGATCGCCCGCGTAGAAGTCGCGAAGCAAGGCGGCCCCGGGGTGCTCGGGCGGGGACCAAGGCCAGGACTCAGGAAGCAGGCGCATGCTGAAATGCCGTTGCAAAGCAGGGATACGATTGTACATACATATAGCGTACAGAGAGGGGCGTCACCGCCGATAATACGTACAACAAAGCGCGTGTAGGGGTCGTGAGGTCGGAGGCGAGAGAAGAGAGAGATGCGATGGTAGAGAGGCCTGAGAACCCGATACAGCGCCCGGCAGCAGCGATCGCGCTGAGATCCACGCAGCGTGGCGGGGCGCGTCCGGTCGAGGCCTGGGCGGACGAGGAAGCCTAGTGGGGGTGAGATGCCTACTCGACAGCTTCGCCACGATAAACTAGAGGTAAGCTTTCTCCAGGGGGACCATGACGAGCGTGCCCTTCGGCGGTTGGGTGACCTGTAGCGCGCGAAGGATGTATAAGCGATTGCCGCGGCGTACGGAATCGTGTCCATCGAGAAGAACGTACCGTGTTGAGGGGGTCCGAAACCGTGAACTTGCCCTCGAGGAGGGTGGGCGTTGCGCGGCCGATGAGCGAGGCAACGATGAGTTTGATCTCTGCATGCGGTGTAAGTTATGGGGTGATTGGACCTAGCGAGTGACTGACCATTGATTGCGAGCACCCGCCCTGGGCACGCAAAGCGACCCAGGCCGAAGACGATGTGGGCAGGGCCGGTCATGACCGCCTCCTTGTTCTGCTCCGCCCACTGGAAGCCATTGAACTCACGCGGGTCCTCGCCATAGATCTCCGTGTTCTCGTGCACGGTGGTCGCCATTGGCGTGACGAAGTGGCCTGTCAAGTATGTGTCAGTATTCCGCAGGCGTCATAACGGCAAGTGCGGCGGCGACCTACCCTTGGGAATGATCACATCGCCGAGGGGCACGTCGCAGGTGGTGTAGCGCATCGTGGCAATGGTGTCGCCCTTCAGGCGCATTACTTCCCGAATGAACGAATCTAGAAGACGCGCTTCACGCAGGGACGCGGCGGTAAGGCGCATCGCCCCAGTCTCGTCCTCTTCCATAACGCGTGAAAGCTCCTCGCGAAGCGGTCCAAGATACTCTGGGCGCATGGCAAGCTGATAGAGCACCCATTGCGAGACGACGGTGCTGCATACCCAGCATAAGATGAGAAAGTCGCCGTCGTGATCAGAAAGTTACTCACGTCGTGTGAACAGCAGCGAAAATCAAACTAAGAAGGGCGGTGAGCGGAGATGTGACTGATAAAGACGGGCGACTGACCACAGCAAGAGGATAGCGATGTATAGCCGACGGAAAACTCCAATTCTACTGCCGTCCTGCGGCGTGTATGTCTTGACAATAAGATAAAGAACATTCCGGGGCTGGCAAGGGGAACAACATGTAAGCGGTGAGTAGCCCAGAAGACGACGCCACGAAGGTACCTCGTCTTCCGGCGCGGTGTCCCCGGATGTGGCGATCTTCTGGTAGCGATCGATGTCTCGCCAGACCTTGGGACCATACGTACGCATGAAGCCGAATGGGATGCTCACGAGCATGACCTTGATCCTGCATCAAAGAAGTCAAACGTCTATCGCAGCAGATGTCCGGAAACGCCCTCACCAAGTATAAACGATCCACAGCATCGGGATATACTTCCCAATGAGAGAGAAGTTCTGATATTGGCCTGTGAGCTCCGCCATGCCGTTCGACACCTCCTCCACGACCTCCAGGTTGCGATGAGTTACATAATCCTGACGTAGAAGTTCTTGGATTAGCGGCTATGTAGGTACCGAGCGTGTGAGGGGACAGTACCTGGCCAAATAGCAGAATGAGCGTAGTCTCAGCGATGGTCCCACGGAAGTGGTCGAAGCAGCTTGGGTGCTGTCCCGTCTTGATGCCCTCGGCAGCGCGTTCGACGAAGCTCTTCGAGTCCCTCTCGAACAGGGGCCAGACTGGTGCATCCCACGGTGAGTCCTAGCGAAGCGGAGATGGGTATGATAACGAGACGTACTCCTGTATACGATCTCATCGATGCGTGCAACGATGCCGTCCCTGACGAAGTCTTGCAGGTCCCGGAAGAGGGTGCCCTCCGTGAGTGCCATGATTGGCTGCAAGTTCATGATCTGGGCACGGTGACTGCAGCTTCAGCAGACTGCGATCGTCGACCATGGAAACATGCTCACCGCCGCTGAGCCCTGCTCGAAGCTGAAGAGACGGTCGCAGGTGAGCACGTATCGGGCATACTCGTGGTTCACGATGTATTCCAGCTGCACGTAGAGTAAGTCCCAGACGAGTGAGTGATGATGTATGGGCAACGCACGTTGCCCTTGCGTCGCACGCCGATGACTGGACCATAAGTCGCGAGAGCCTCTCCGTACGCTTCCCGGGGCCGACCAAAGATGTCCTCGGGCTGTCGTATTGAATTAGTGCGATGATTGCATGCAAAGCTAAGCATACCCACAGGGATGTCCACGATGGGAGGAAGGCGATCCTTCGAAATCTACGAAACAGTGGGGTGAGAAGGGAGCGAAGGGAAGGGTCGTAGCCATGAGAAGCAGTACCTTGGGTGCCTTGACATACCAAGCGTAGGTGGCGAGGAGCAGGGGCCCAGCGAGAAGGTAGGAGTGCTCCATGGTAGGTGGGGGAGATGATGCATTCAGACGCACTCTGTTGGCCCTTTACATAGTCGCGCACACAGACCTGCATGCGGCGCCCGAGCCTTCGACCGCTGGCGTGGCTCTTGGGAAATCTGCATTTCGATCAGATACTGCCTGCAGCGCAGCGTTCTGGCCAGCGCCCTCAGGCAGTTGTACGTTGCACTATCAGGAAAAGGGAGACGACGCCCGTCTGCGGAGAAGCACCCCATTATCGACAAGGCGCGTCGATTGTCCGCGAGGCCGTCCCGTTCTGATATCGTGGAGCGAGAGAAGTTGTGTTCGCGAAACTCCCTTCCCAAACTCCGCAGGGTTCTGCCCGCGCAGAAACGGGCCCGGAGCGTCCCTCTGCCGTGTTCCTACAGACTCCACGCCGCAATACCTGTGTGACAATACTTGTTTGATGTAAGCGAGGACGTCAAATTCGCGCTATTGGATCAATACCTTGTGAATACCTCGGATTCTTTACAACTTCTGGCGGTAAAAGACATATAGCCGAGAAGTGCGCGCTGCCTGCATGCAGATCTACTAAACCCATCATAGGAATCGCAATGTTGGCGACGATGGCAGTGCTCGGCCCGACTTGCAAAGCTTTGGCGAACGCCGTCTCTGAGTGTTTTCAAGAGCAGGCGCATGCTGGGTACTGCTGGTGCCGTTGTTGAAGAAGCACGGTGTTCCGGAGTAGTGGATGTCGGCATAGCGTGAGGGCTCTCGGAGGCAGATGTGGGACCGGCGGCGGTCCGGCACCTGCTTAAGGTTCTTTGAAGGGCCTGACGCCGCAGAAGTACCGTTGGATCAGACCGAGTACTGACCTCTATATTTAGTCATTTCAGCCCCAGACAAATGCCACCCTTCTGAATGAAACGAACGTTCACGAGGCCATTGAGGTCCTCGACGTTTAATGGCTTAGGACAACTCCCACCGCGCTACTAGCCACGTGTACCAGGGGCGTCGGCGAAACACTGTGCTCGTGTAACTGTTCAAAGAGTACACCCCGGCAAGGTTAATCCAAATCAATCAATTGCATTTTCACCTTCGCTACGCATCCCACGGACGATGCATTATGTTCCGCTGAAGTTCACATGTCACTGCGCGAAGCCTGTCCAGTCCTATCAGACATAACACCAAAGCGCTCGGTATGTAACACATACCCTCTATGATAGATGTGGGATCTTCCATGAGCGCACGGTGGGTGCTATCGCTGGCGTCTCCGCGTTACTTCTACGCTCCGCCAATCGTTCTTAGCCGCGCTAGAGTACGAAACGAGGTCAGATGGTCGTTCCTGAGGCCTCAAAGAAGCGTGGGGCATGATCCTACGTAGACCTGACGCGGACGCTGGAGGATCAAACGTTCCGACAGTAGTCTTCAGCATATAATCCCCTACTCTACGGAGGTATCTGATCTCCCACACGCACCTCGAAGTATATTGCTCGTGTGGTCGCACACTCACTGCGTCGCCGGTCTCGCTTAGTGCGGAGGATGCAATTGGCGCTGCGTCGGCGCTGCGCCGGCGCCATGGGCACACCCCGCACTTGCCCGCGCGCGGGCCTTGAACGTGGAGTACACATTCTTTCTGATTCTAGATAACAAATCTTGATCGGATGCAGTGAGAAGACGAAAGAGAAGACGAAGGAACGGTCACTTTACGGAGAAGTACCCACCTGGCATGTGCTTGATTGTTCGTCCCGAGGCTGAGTCTTCGGAGAGAAGCAGACACTGACTGACCGATGTGTAGCATTACGGAAGAGTGAGTCGGCCACGAGTCAGGACATTGCTTGGCAACAGAACCATGCACGTCGAAATCTCGATACTGCACTAGCCGAAACATCCTGCGGGACATGGGGCCGGGCAGTTTTGTCGGAGTTCCTGCAGCGGCTTGGGCAGAGACTTGACGCTGTAATCGGGATCCGTTCACGCACTACACATATGGCGCTGCCGGTGTCAGCGGCGGCGTTTGACGCAATTTCCAATGCAGCGCAGCCGCACAGTGCTCTATACTTGTATAGATGCCGCCTGCACCGACAGACAGGCTGTCCTTGACGGACCGAACCTTGAGGCGATTGAGCTTGATGCAGTCTGCAGGCCTTCGGGTCTGTCCGAGTGAGATCAGCGTCATGATACACATATTATTACAGTCAGATGCGAAAATAGATAGAGGATAGATGCTGCCCAAATACTGTTGATACAACCTGCGCTGGTCCGGTCAGGACATCCCAAGCCTGCTCTGCTCGAAGACCCGCACAGCGGAGGACGGGATCGACATCGAGTCCGCGAAGTGGCCTGTCATCGCGACGGAGCCCTGGCTCGCGGCCTTGATGCGGCATAGCGCCTGAAAAGCGACGTTCCACGCGAACTTCGGCTTCAGGTGGTACGCCCATGAGGCCCTGATCGCCTCGATGTCGCCTATGCGGGCGAGCAACGAGTCGGAGGCGATGTCGGGTCCGGCAGCGAAGGACTGCGAGAGCTCCTTCCACTTGTTCCGCTTCTCCGAAGCGCCGGATGCCTTCGCGCGCCCCCTCGCGCGAGACGCACGCGAGGGGGTGCCTTGGTTGTTCTTCGACGAGCTCGCAGCGCTTGCTATGCTCTGCCATTGCTTGATGTGCGCCTCGACATGATTGCGGACCCGCGCGATATCGTCCTTGAGCGCGGGATGCTCAGCGAGCGCCGACATATTGACACAGAGTCGGAGGAGGTCTTGATCGTCGTTGTCGTTGCGGATTTGAAACTGCACGAGATCGTCGTATCGTCGAAGATGGGCATCGCGCATGCACCTCCCCTCCTCGAGCAGCTCGTCCAAGATGAAAGGGCCTAGACGTGGTGGGCGTGAAAGGGGAACGATGTTGTAAGCCCGTTCGCCGTCTGCGACACTGGATGGTAGACATTCCGGGCGCGCCCTGTCATATTGTAGCTTGTCCTTTTTAAAGACCTCGTTCTTGACTTTCAGCCCTGACTTGCGAGCATCCAGGACGGTATTGAACCTGTCGGTATGTGAGTCCTAAACCCATACGATACTAAGTGGTGCTGACATGAATGCGTTACGAATCGTTTGAGGCGCGTCGTATCCATGGACGTAGGCTGCGTTCTCGTGGTACATAGAGTATGCGCCCACCAAAGGTCGAGATATATCCGAGAGTAGAGCGCCTTGCAGTTTCTTACGACGCGCGTCCGGGTCGTTGACCATCCGGGACATCTCGGCGGCTACGGCTGCAACCTGTTCGATCTTACCCTGGTCCTCGAAGTTGTCCTTTAGGAACCCGGCGGGCGCTTGTGACAGCGGCGAATTGTTGAAGTCCCTGACGAGCCTCGGGTCATAGATGCAAACACAGACATCTGTCAAACGTCAAGATACGATCATAATCGCAGGTGTGAGGTGGATTCTTACCTCCATCGTAGTCTGTAGGAGTGACAGGCGTCAGCGGGAACTACGGGGTAACTGCTTGGAGACTGACCGCCACCCGCCAGCATGCTCGCGAAAGAGCAGGGACCCCTCGATGGTAGGACAATGACGTCCGCATAGTCGGCGAGGAGTTCATGCTGAACAGCTGTGACCTGGGGTAGCGTATGTGAGATTGGTAGTGATATCATTGACATATAGAAGAACCTTCTGCACGTCCGATGGGAGACGGTTTGGGTTGCGGTATATCTATAAATCATATACCAGATTACATCTTCTGTTCACAGATCATAAGGGGAGTGTATGCACGCACCAGGACATCACCCAGCAGAATGTTGGGGTTGAGATCTTCCAAAGCGGACTTGAGGTCTTTGCTCGATCTGAAGTGGATCTCACCAGGCTTGAGCACACCGTAAGGATCTAGTCAACGTGAGTCACCCAGTATCGGCAAAGGTACAGTGCGATACATGACCACATACCTGGAACGATGAATGCCTCGGCAGAGAGCGGAATAGAAACGTGGAAGTCACGGATGATGTCCTCGATGACATTGCTCGTGATCTTCCTCAGCTTCTCATATAACGCAGGTAGTCGGAGGGGGTGGAAGCCCGCTTGCAGGAGATCCATGACGACGCCATGCAGGGTAAGCGGCTCGCCCGTGAACCGGTCCCGCAACCTCTGCGGAACCGCACCTGCGCTCTCAAGCTCGGCAAGTAACGCCGCACTCTCCTCCTCGTCGAGCTCGCGGTCGCCCGCGGAGCCCAGGAATTCCCCCAGCATATCGGGTGGCTCGTCGGACGGGAACTCGTCTTCGCGGATCCGACCTGAGAGTCCGAGGGCGCGCGATGCGCCGAGCGCGTACTGCTGCACGCGCGACGCGGTGACATGCCCGATCCGGTTCACGGTTGCCCAGAGGAGCTGCATGTCCTGCGGACGCGTCCACTGAGTGAGCTCCTGAAACTGCTCCTCGAGCGTCTCCCGCATAAGCTCTACGAAGGTGTTTGTCGGCAGCCCGTTGTGCGACAGATTGAGGATCGTCAGGCGCGAGAGGCGACTGGGCAGCGTCACGCGCGGCGGCGCGAGCAGGTCAAATATGCGATGGGCGGGATGCAGTCTGTTGAAGTCGAGCTTTATCTTCGTCTGAGAGTCGCGAATCCAGATCTTGGGCAAGGCGTCGGGCGAACGATCGCGGGGGTGGAGTACCCACAGTCCTTTCGCGCCCGCAATGCGACCTTGCACAGCGGTCGGGCGCACACTGAATCCCATGCGTCTGCCGATTGCGCTCAGAGCAGCGCCATTCATGAAGCCGCAGCCGTCGGTGTAGATCTCTTCGGTTGGCGCTTTCCCGGCCTGCTTGTTGACGCCTGCGCTGTATGTGAGTAGATAGATACGCGGACGAGAGAGTCGGACTGACATTCATCGTCAATGTTGAACATCTTGTCTGGGTCGAACAGCAATGCGGGGACGGAAATGGATAGCCCTAGGTCAAAACGTGTTGTCCACTTGGATACCGCCTGTTTTCCGTTCTTATCGAGAGGGTTATGCCAATTCACAAACTCTTCGAGGGACATTCGCCGCTCGTCACCAGGCGCGGGAGCACCCCGCTCGTAGTCCTCCTTGGTCTCCATCAGGAAAATCTTGCCTTCCTTCATGCCAAACGCGACGAAGACACGTCCACAGAGCACAAACTTCTGCATGAAGAACTCCTTGAGCTTTTCGGCCTGACTGCTCAGGATCTCGCGCGGCACGGAAACCTGGAGGAGGCGCCGCGAGCCAAGGAAGCGCGCGAAGCGGCACGACTTGCGCATTTCCATAGGCGCGAGTACTAGCCGCAGCGCGCCGCCGTGCTCTTCTACACGCGCGACCTGCTGTATCTTGCCGCCGTACCAGTCTTCGGTCTCCTTCCATTCTCCCTGGAGGCCCAAGCCTCGATGACGCCCTTCGCATAGAGCTAGCTCTTCGCGATCAAGCTCCACCCTACGCAGGACAAATAAGCACATCAACCTAAGCACGCGACGCAGTGCCGTACACACCAAAGTTGCAGATCTGGCTGTGAAATCGCGACGGAGGGGGAATGTGAGAGGACCTGGGGCACCTTCAGCGCAGCGTCCTTGCTCTGCCCTCTAAGCTTCTCCAGGTTCGGGAGGGTGACATCGCTCCAGGACCACCAGCCTCGAGAGACACCGCGCGCTATCTCGTACTGGACACCCCACGCGATACCCAATTGGTCCATCAAGTGCTGTGCTTCCGGGGAGTGCGCGATGAGAACGACCCCCTGTGGCACGGAGGAATCTCCTTTATCGTGATGTCCACTCATGAGACGGTCTGTGCGCTTGTGGAGACGAATCACGCACCAAGTCCGAACATTTGTGTCATGTAATTCGCAACCCTGGTCATTGTAGGTGTTTCGACCTTCGTGCGGTAAGGCGTGGGCGATTCCGGCTGCACAGGGGCGCGCGGGCGGTGAGGAGTGGTCGGCTCCGGGGAATCCAGACCCTCCTGAATGACCCGTATGCGCGAGGACGATGCAGTTGACGAGCGCGAAGGCGTGCTAGGACCCGCACGCGGCGTAGTGTTCTTCGCCAGCTTTGGCAGCTTGCTGGCGGTGGAAGCGGGTACGATCGGTACTGCCCATGTATTCTCGTAGCTCAGGGCGCGTTTTCTGCCAGTTGTAACATCATACGATGCCGATGACTCTAGGGAGGTGTTGGAGGAGTTGCGAGATTTCACTTGTGAAAAGGCGAAAGACCCCTCCTTGGAGGGTGCCGAATCAGAGTCGCTGTCGGCCTCGAGGACTGTGAAATAAAAGTGAGCTTTAATCATGATTATAGCACACTGATTGGGACGTACGCGCTGCGACTATATAGAAGGCGCCTTAGCATAGTCTTTGGTAACTTAGGGCACAAAGGACATACCGAGTGAATCGTCATCGTCGCTGCCGCTGTCTGCGGAGTAGCCACCACTGTCCGCCCTCGTCAATGAAGACGGCTTTGCGGTGAAAGCCGGTTGTTTTCCCTTTGCGTTGGTCGTTGTTCTCCCGCCTTAAAAGTGGCAAGTAGAAGCATCAGCGGATGGTGTTTGAGTAGACGCCGAGTCCTGGCGCTGCGGTAGCATCTACCTTGCCCTGCTGCAGAACGGGAGTTTGCCCTCTCGATAGACCTGGCCGCAGCTGAATTTCCTGATGCAAAAAGACGACATGGTACATGAGTTTGGTCAGAACGTGTTGATGAAGATATTTGTACTGACCTCGTGTGGTACCCCGGGACTCCGCGGCTCGGGGTATAGAATCGCCGCCCCAGAACTCGCGCTCTGGATCGTTGGACCCGCTCATGTTGTTTCTTCCTTTCAGTAGACAATGTTTGCAGAAGGAATAAGAAGGAAGATTTGGGCGATGATGGTCTGTGCAGCAAGAGTGCTAGTACATGACCGCACGGTCCAACTCGAGTTCACCACGCGAAGGAAGCTGACCACCCTTAGGCTTGGCGCTAGCGCCCTAAGTTGACAGGTGCTACATGGGCGCCTATTCCCGAGTACACCTTGACAATGACCACGAACACGGCATGGGCGTATCTGTTACTGTCTTCAGTCTGGCACTCGTGGTAACTTGCTTGATGAACGTGGTACGGTGGCTTGCCTAGCGTTCCGAGTGGACATAGAAGGATCAGCGCAATTTAGGTGCGTATGTCAAGATCTCCGACCTGTACCGCCGTGGATGCAGTGAACTCATATGTCTTATGCCAAGGCAGCATTGGCGCCTTATGGGCACCTCTGGTATCCGCGTTCATGCAAATGGCGGGTCTACCGGCCGGGTTGACGTACCGCTAGCTCAAGTTCTGTAGGATCCTCGGCTTCTGACTTCGTAGCCAGGCAGAAAGCAAGCAAGACAATTCGACACTATCCGCAACTCATCTCGTCAGACTCGCGCCGCACTTTGGGCAGAAGGAGGATTTCACGCTACACCGCGAGCTAGGGGTTTCGTCTGCCGCGCGGTCGACGCCCGAGCTTCTGCCAAGGCGTACTGGGCACTTGGCACTTGTTCAAGATGGTATACTCTTGCACGCACCCTAATACCACTCTGCGCCTTCTCACTGTCGTTATCTATGGCCAAGCCGACTCACACCGTTCCAGTACACCTCGACCTCACTGTTGAACACGTGGACAATGGGGATCTACCCGTGCCTACCGTGCTGCCGAGACCGCTGCCTCCCCCCAAGTCACAATGGCAGGCTTCTGAAGCTGGCAGCACGAGCGCGTCGTTCACGCGGCTTACACGACAGGCCGCGGGGCCCACTCCGGATGCCAACTCGACGACGAGCACCACCCCCCTACCCACCTCAAAAGGCAAAGGGAAGGCAAGACGGCAGCCGAGCTCATCGGTGGCCTCGCCGGCGTCGAGCCCCATGGGCCCTCCGCAGCCTGCCCCTCAGTCGCCGATGCCATCGCAGTCGGACAGTCAGGTGGTCCTGAGCCCGCCTGTGCCTGCGCCCCTCGCTGCCACCCTCCGCTCTAACCAGTTGGGCGCCGACGTCACCGGCAAGACAAACATCCCCGCGCTCAGACACGATATGTTGGAGCTTACGCACCACCTCGACCGCCTCACCCGCACCCATGCCACCGACCGCGCGGCCATCCGTGATGCCCTGCTGAAGCTCACGATGGCCGTTGACGACCTCCGCAATGATGCGTCCCCGGCTACCTCACCCACCGTCGCATTCCGTGACCTTGAGCAGCGTGTTCATCGCCTTGCTCAGGGACTCGAACGCGAGGAGGACACCCGTGCCCGCGAAATCGGTGTCATGGATGTACGCCTCGGCTCCGTTGAGGATGACACCCGCGACATCTCGCGCTCCGTCACCACGGTCAGCCAGGAGCTCGCTGGGGCCATCAACGCACTGTCGCAGATCCGCGCGACCCTATCGACGATCACGCAGCAGGTCGGCGACCTCAGCAACAATGCGCGCGCTCTTGTGGCAGCGCCAGCGCCCACGCGCGAGACCGCACTCACGCCGTCAACACCTCACGAGTCCCGCAGGCGCGAACGACAAGTCTCCCCCTCCCCTGCCCCTCCCCAGGCCTTCCAGCGACGCCTTCCACGCCCTCCCCAGCCTATCCCCTCTGATGGCCACGGCGCGGAGGGACGCCCGCCCAAAAGAGCCCGCGGGAACGGTCCGCGCGGCCAGCATCAGCCTCACCTGGCGCCCGTCCCCGCACCCCTCCCTGCGCCTGCGGCTGGACCGGCATCGTTTACAGTCCGGTTTGGTGCAGTGGGCTGGTCGGCTGACCCAGCTTCCCTGCGCGCGGAGGTCCTTTCCACGGGCCACTTGGCGTGGAACACCATCCCGAACGTCTTTGAATCGGTACTGGACATCCGCCGCGATCCCGTAGACTCGCGCTTTGCCCTCCTGCGCTTCCCGACTCGCTACCTTGCTAGCACCTTTGTCGAAGCGTGGGTGCAGCACGGTCACCGCGAGCAATCGTTACGTACCGTACACGCTGTGATACTCGAGAACGTCGACGTCTCAATAAAATCCTACCCCCTGCGCATTCTCTCGTGGAATGTGCATGGGAACCTTGCTCTCCGCTTGCACGACCCTGCCTTCTCGTCCACACTCGCCCAGTTCGACTTAGCCCTCTTGCAAGAGACGCACCTGCGCCCGTCCCAAACGTCGCAGCTTAGGCTCCCGACAGGGTTCTCGTGCATCTCCATGACGCGCCCAGAAACCAGGCAAATGCGACATGGTGGAGGCGGCCTACTGGCGCTGATCCGGCCAGGACTCGTCGTGAAGGACATCTCTCCAAAAGATCAGTCTGATATCATGCTCCTCGAGATTGGCGACCTCTCCATTCTTCATGTCTATGTGCCGCCCGCGCACTCCCCGGCGCTAGAAGGAGCGCTCGTCTCAGTGGAGCAGCGTGTACACGACCTCCTTCTACCCCGTACGTTGCTACCGGACCACCGCGTCCTCGCGCTCGGAGACTTCAATGCTCGCGTTGGAATCCTGGCGACATCGCTCCCCCGTGTATCGCCAGACTTGACCGTCACTGCCAGAGGCCGCCGCCTACTCGGGATGTGTAATGACCTTGGTCTCGAGCTATTAAACGGCTCAGGTCTGCACTCTCAGCTGAACCGGCTCTCGTACACCTCATTCCAAGCAGCAGGCTCGTCCGTCATTGACCTTGCCTTTGTGTCGTCTACTTTGGCCTACCCCTGTGCGCTCCATGACTGTACAACGCCGGCTACAACCCTCGATGTCCTTCCGCACAACCCAGATTGGTCGGACCATGCGGCGCTCGCCCTCTCCACTCACTACCATATCTCGTCCACTGAAGTTTGCGCTCCGCAAAACGTAAAAAGCGTCGAGCGATGCCCATCGCGGCTGCGTGCACACCCCTCGACATCCTCCTCCAGAACACACTCGCGCTTGTGGATGGCCACGAGGCACAGTTGCGTCTGTTCTATGGGAACCCCTGGGAGGCTGGGCCCCCTCTCTTTGCGTACATCGGTGCTGCACCTGACCCCCAACTGGATGCGACTGGGGTAGGCGCTAGCGTGTACTGGGGACCTGATGCTCTCACCGGCTGGAGCCAGCGTGTCCCGGGACTGCAGACCATCCCACGAGCTTCTCTCTGGGCTGTGATTCATGTGCTACGCACTGCGGACCCGATTCGTGTGCTCCGTCTGTGGGTCCCGGATGATCATACCGCCCGTACCATCTGTCACTGGGCGCCCGCTATGGCTCGAAAGAGATGGACCTGCGCACACGCCGACCTCATCAAGCCTCTCGTTGAGCTCCTGCAAGCCCGCCCAGCGGCAATACGTGTCCATGTCTACGATGCCCACACCCCGAACCCCCCTCAGGCCACTGCCATGCTAGCCGCCTCCGCTGCGGCATCACAGCCCATCCCTCCTCTCCCCCTGCCAAAGCACCTCGCTCCACCTCCCTCGTGGCCGCCAGCGCCGCCTGTGCATGTACCCGACGAGGATGAAACCGGCTTGCGGCGATACCTGAAGGCATCCACGCCCCTCCCGGCTCTCTCCACGCATGCGGAAGAAGCGGTCAGACAGGACGGCGCCCCATCTGCAACCGACCTCACGCTACAAGATGTGCACTGGCGAGACCCTGGATACCAACCGCTCCCGCTCTTCAGCCGGCGGAAATGTAACCTCCGCAAGCTGCTGGATGTGACCGGACCGGGTGGCTTTTGGCCTGCTTTCCATGACCTCATGGGTGACCAGCCGTCACCCCCGCTCGTTGAGATCATGCAGCTTTTTCACGTCTTCCACGGCCGCATGAACCCGCCGCTCGTACTGCCTCCTCAATTCGATCATCTCGAGCATGCGCTCAACCGCCTCACGACGAACTCCCTCCCGCGCAACACGGTTGACACATCCACCGGCGCCCATTTCTCTCGACCATTCTCTGTCGAGGAGATCGACGCGGTGAAGACTCACATTCGCTCCCATAACAAAGCGTCTGCGCGGGGTGCCGATGGCGTGAGCTACGACGATGTCCTCCAAATCCCCTCCGAGCGACTCTGTGAGCTCTTCCAGGCGTGCGTTGACTCGACGTCCGCCCCACAAGCTTGGCTCACTGCAATCATTGCGGCAGTCAAGAAACCGAAAAAAGACGGAAAGCTCCCGGAGAGCTACAGGACTATCGGTCTAGAGAGCTGCCTCCTCAAAACCTTGACCCTCCTCATTGACCGTCGCCTGCGTGCGTGGGCAGAGGACGTCGGCCGCATCCCCGACTCACAGAACGGTTTCCGTGCGGGCCACCGCACGTTCAACAATGCGTTCATCCTGCGTGCGGCTATCGAGAAGGCAAGAGCGCTGGGGAAAACTCTCTATGTCGTTTTCCTCGATCTCGCGAACGCCTTCCCTTCCGTCGACCAATCTACGCTCTGGGCAAAGCTCTCTCGATGGGGCGTTGCTGGACCCCTCATCGACTGGCTGAGGATGCTGTACTCGCAGCTGCAGTACCTAATCCGCTTCGGAGGCGACACTACGGACACGTTTAAAGCACTCATGGGTATCCTCATCGGCGACCCAGCCTCGCCTATCCTGTGGATTCTTTACCTCTCCGACTTCGACCTCCGCCCACACAAAGACGACGTCATCCTCGACGGTGACCACCGTGTGTCGCACCTGGAGATCGCCGACGACATTGCGCTCGTGAGCTACTCCGATGATGGGGCATAGTGGCGATTTGTGCTGAGTGAGCGGTCAGTCTTGCCTAAATGTTGCCCCCCCTTTACTTATACGCCCCCCAGCTTGGAGGATGATTTGAATTTGTTGGCGAGAGAGCTAAGGGGTTTGATCTATTGACGTCGTTTTACGCTAAACCGGCCCTAAACTAGGTAATAATACGTAACTCGTAGACCTCGAATCCAACATAGACAGCCCCGAGAGCGCAATACATTCGACCCCGTCGTAGCCTATACCCACACGCTGTTCACATCTTCTGTAGTCCTAGTCGCTCTGCGGCACATCGGCAGGTTGCGTGCGTAAACCTCGCATGATGGGAGGGGAAAACCGCGTAGCTCGCGGGAAACCTCGGCCAGGAGAGCCACTGCTGCAGACACAGACAGCGTCTCGACACGCACACGCAACCCAGAGCAACAACTAACAAAAGATGCAGTCAGCAAGGGTTTAGACTCCGGGGGTAGGTCACAGGTGATCGGGACCGGCGGTGCCCCAACAAGGCAACCACTCGCAGTCCTGTCCGCGGCGCTCCTGCACCAGTCTAATGATAGACGTGAACGGAAGCACACACCTTGTGCCAATGTATGGCGCCACCGGTTGCCATCCGGAAGGCATTCGGAATTCGCCCGACTATGTCAGGCCCTCCCAGCCACGTCCTGTTCGGGCGCGTTGTCTTGGGGTAGTAGGGGTGGGGTTGTGTCGCACAGCTCGAAGATGTCGGCGACGTAGCTCGCCAGTATGGGGAGCGTTGTCGAGCCGCGGAGGAGCATGTCGAGGAGAACGACACTTGATAGGCGAAAATGCGCCTTTCGTAGGGAGGGCACCGCCGTGAAGACGGCTTGGAGGAAGACCTCGCGGAGGCCGCGCGGGGCGTCGGCGTCGCACTCCAGGAGTACGTGGGTCTCGTCCTCGATGGCCCAGGGTTGCGTGCACCATCGGCAGATGCGGAGTTCGCGCGCAATGCGCGTGGGACCTCGCCGGAGCTGCTCGATGGAGAGCGGATGCTCGCTCATGAGGAGCAGAGTGATGGCGGATCGCTCGCGGTGGTGGGGGAGCTGTAGGTATTCGCGTTTGCAGCACAGCTTGGCGATCAGCGGGCGGGTGGGGCAGTCATACTGCACACGGCGGTGTATCACCGGCAGGCGCAGGGACTGGAGGATGGTGGTATAAAGGTGCTCGGCCACGAGCCCTGGGATTCTCGCAATGTAGCCGTCAACGGCCTCGACTGTGGGCCATTGGTTCAGGGCGATGACGAGGGGTACGGGCAGCATGCGCGCGGCGATGGTGAGGTCGCTCCACCACGTTGGCGTAGGGCGGTCGGAGTTCGCGAGCGTCCAGCTCTCACGCAGTGCCGCGTACGCAAGCGCGGGCTGGCCTGTAAGGAGATAGCGCAAGAAGCGCAGTGCGAGCTCTAGGCGGCGGAAGCGCAGGGGCCATATTCCAGTCTCCGAGTGGAGGGGTGCGATCTGTGAACGCTTGCTGACGTGGAGCGCCCGACGGAGGAAGATGTGCTGAATCATCTCCAGTTCGTCGAGAGCGGAGGGGCGCACGTCGAGCGCAATCTCACACCCGCCTGTGAGATGCGGGTCCAGGTGGGAGAGATAGAGGCGGATGGCCATGAGCGGTGGGAGGGGCCCCGTGTAGGATTCCAGCGCGAAGCAGGCGTTGCCCACTCGTCGGGCTGCAAGCTCCTTTGCGATGTAGTGCGGGAGGAAGATGTCACGCGCTGTTGAGCAGAAGGACATGCCCACGTAGACGGAGATGTCGACGTAGGTGAGGCGTTTGCGATAGAGCCGCAGAACTGGGAGGGGGTCCGGAAGAGGGCCGTGGATACTCGCAAGTGTCTTGGGTACGTTGACAAAGAGGCATGATAGCCCGCAGTAACCCTCAGTTTGGTCGAGTTTGTCCTGTGTCTGCCTATCATCTGCAAGACCACCCAGAGCAAGAGCTGCGGCGTAGAGAGCCGAGGCAATCTGGTCTGTGTCCAAAAGAGGCTCACGACGGGGACCACTCTTCTTCAAAGGATCGAACTGACTTACGAGTGACGTGCTATCACTACTCTGTGTATGACATGGACCTATTGACATGAAGGTATGCAGGCTCCGACTTCTGGGAACGAAAGCGGGCCGATCAAGTTCGACGACCCGCGTATTCCTCCGGGACAAGACGCATGGGCGGAGTGCTGTGAAGTGATCAAAGACCACCACGAAGCAGTAGTGAAGCGATTGAAAGAGGAGATTGATACTCTCCTCGTTTATGTGAGTATATATGCCTAGTTCCCGGGGGGTGCGTGCTGAAACCTTACGGTGGTAGGGCGGCCTTTTCTCTGCCGTGCTCACCGCATTCAACGTGGAGCTCTACTCCGCGCTTCAGCCGAACCCATCGGATACAACGAACGCCCTTCTTGCGCAAATGACTGATCAGCTGAACAGTTTTACTCTCAGCTCTTCCTTCGCCAACTCCTCACAGCCATCACTCGCCCTGCCCTCCCCTTCCTCATTCCGCGCTTCGCGCTCCTCCGTATGGATCAACGCACTTTGGTTCTCAAGTCTCATCTGTAGCCTCTCTTCAGCATGCATCGGGATGATGGTAAAGCAATGGCTACACGAAACGGAGCTCGGGCTACCCGGGACGTCGCGCGAGACGGCACGTCTGCGCCAGTACCGTCTCGACGCTCTCGTCAAGTGGCATGTGGGCACGATCGTTGCTCTCCTACCGACCCTGCTGCTGCTCGCATCCGCGCTCTTCCTTGCAAGCCTTCTAACACTCCTCTGGACTCTCCACCACGGCGTAGCCGCCATGGCCTCAGTGCTCGTCGGAGCCCTCCTCATATTCACCCTCATCACCCTCACCCTCCCCGCGTTTTCCCGCGACTGCGCGTATCGATCTCCCCAAGCCCTCATTGTCTTCCTCTTCGTCCAGCTCATTTGCCGCCTATCTCGTCACTTCCTCCGTCCGTTCCGCCAGGTGGTCTACCTCTACCGAAATCACTCGATGGTCTGGTGCTTCGTATCGCGTTGCGTTGAGGCTATCACGCTTACGAAGTGGGGAAACTACCGCAGTTGGTCCGGTCTGGAGCGGGTCGTCGTGCAGGACCGCCACCATTCGCTCGATCAGCACACCGTCGAGGCTGCAAACGCCTTGCTACTCGACGATGGTTTCACAAACCGCGTACTACGACCTTGCATACGCTCGCTGCCCGTAAACTACGCCTACGAATGCTTCCAGCAAGTACACAAGGACCAGGTTCGACACACGGGCGGGCACTACGATCGCCAAACCTCTATAGACACCGCAGTGACGATCGCACTCGACGTTGCCAACCTCTACCTCGATAGCGCTGGGGCCGGTACAACTCACGAGCCACTCAACCTCGACGATCTCGCTGCCGACCTCCGAGCGCTGCCGCACAATATGGTCTCCGCGTCGGTGAGCGAGCGACTCTACAGAACGCTTGTGAAGATGCTCGAGCGGGGAGCTGTGCAGAATAAGGGCACGTACGACGTCTACTCAATGTTGGACTGCATGACCTCCACCAAGTGGGTTATGGGTGCTCTGTCGGACATTACCTGCGGCGAGGCGACCCGCGAAGGTGCGTTCAGTTTCTAATCAGAGTATATGTCGAATACTAACGTCGTTACTGTAGTCACCGCAGCGCTTGAAGAGCTGTGCAGGTCCGGTCCACGTCTCGAACTGTACGGGACGGGCCATGACGGTCATCGCGAGCTCGTCACCTTTCTGGGCGCATGTTATCTCCGTCCCGGCTTCGCCCCCGCCCAGGATCGCGACTTCGTGCGCACACACCTCGACGCTGCTTTAGTCGCGCTCGAGGTGTACCTCACGAAACCTGGTTGGAAGAACAAGTGGGAGTGCAGGCTCCTCGTAGCCGAATTCACGCCTATCTTGGAGGAGCTACACGCGCAACGGCCGGGGTCTGTCACGCCGAGGCTGGTGGCTGCCATGGAAGATGCAGCGAAGTGGCTATCGGCCAAGTCGGAGGTCTGCAGCGCGTAGGCGGAAACAGGTGTGTCTCTTCGTGCGGGAGCGTGGAGTTTTCAGCCAGGTGGTGGCACGAACTCTGGTTCGTTGTAGGGAATCGATGGTAGGCTGTTGGCCCGCTCGTTCTACCACGCTGCGCTGATCTATTATGGCTCCACCAGATATGGAGTCTATACGATCTGAGCGATGACCCGAGAACATTACATATCGACCAAGTTATGGATTGTATTCATGGACTGGCCTTGATGCACATAAGGAAGCTCGCCGGAGGTATCCCTTCCTGACCCTCAGCAGGTTGCGCCTCTCCTGGAGTGCTGATTACAAGGGCCGCATCTCGTGACTACGTCAGTAATGCCTCCGAGAGAAGCTCAATCGCGCTATTTCTTAGGATCAGCACACTTGACCTCAGAACATCAGCCATGAAGGTCTTCTACGATCTCGACTGCCTCCTCCACGATCCTCCACATGAGATCTTGTCCGGTAGGCTCGTCCCGTATCTAGAGAGTCCTGATCGTGTCCGGCGCATCAAGGACGCTCTCACGAAGAGTGGTTCATTTGAACTCCATCTTCCGGAGCAAAACTGGCCCCATGACATATTGCACTATGTTCGGATGGTCCACTCGGAGGACTATGTGAACCACATCAAGAACATCTACGACGAGTGGGTGGCAGAAGGAGGCGACGAGGTGAGTTCTAGTCCTCGGGCGAAACCACACCTGGTGTTAACGTGTAGTACATCAGAGCGCCGTGTTCCCTGAGACTTTCCAGCACCGTCAACTCTCCATGTCCCGGTCCGGCAGAAAGCTGTCAGCTATTGCCAGAGCAGGTGAGAACCACGCCAAATCATGTCCACTGTTCTGATAGGCCCCGAATGGAAGGCGTCTATTGCTTCGACCTCAGTTGCCCCATCACTGCAGGTCAGTGATGATAACCCTTTGCTATCCCATATGGAGGCCGATACTCACACAGTGTGGCAGACACATACAATGCGGCCGTTGCCTCCGCGAGGGTCACACTTTCGGCGGCGCGAGCCCTGTCCGACAATCGCTCGGAAGCACCCCCCGCAGTCTTTGCATTGTCGTAAGTTCATCAACCTCCGTAAGTATGTCAGAGGCTAGTGACATACGGACATATGGCAATGTCAGGCGTCCCCCTGGTCACCATGCGCAGGACGCCCTCTGCGGCGGCTACTGCTTTTTCAACAACGCTGCGATCGCGGCGAAGTATTTGCTCGAGGACCGGGGCAGCGGTGCATTAGCTATACTGGATGTCGACTACCACCACGGAAACGGAAGTAGGTGGCGAATTCTTGGTCTCGAAGTAGGTTTGATCGCAGATGATTTTCTGCAGCCCAACAGATCTTCTACGAAGACCCGCGAGTGCTGTATGTCTCGCTTCATGCAGACGGCGACTACCCGTGTGAGTACCTCTGTTGTTAGAGAGTACTAGTATGCTACCATGGTTTGGGCGCTCACTCAACCCAGATTTCACTGGTGCCACAGACGAGCGTGGTGCCGGCGCGGGGCTGGGATTCAATCACAACTTCCCCATCTCACGGCGGGCTTGTACAGATGAGGTGTACTGCGACACGCTTCAGCAGGCCGCTGAAGTGATCAAGAAGCATACCATCCACTATCTCATCGTAAGGTAGGTTCGGACCGCCTCCCGGGTGCGCGCACGATCTGACTGCATCTTGCATCAGCCTCGGAGTGGACACCTATCAGGACGACCCCATCTGTGACTTCCTTCTGACCGCGCGCTGCTATCGGGGAGATAATCGCGTCCATAGGCAAGCCGACTCTATTTGTGATGGAGGGGTGAGTGTGTTTATCTTCGGGCTCTCGCGGCACCGCAGCCCCTTACCTCGCTGTGCGCACCTCGCAGCGGTTACCACCTCGAGTGTCTAGGCCTGAATGTCACCTCTGTCCTGGTCGGCTACATGCAGGCTGTAGTTTAAGCATGGGTATGAAAGCTTTGCCCACAGGCTACACCGTTGATGGGCCTTGCATGGGCCGCAAGTCGAGCCTATATATGACGTATATCGACGCACCGCGTTGTGCAGATCAGGAGAGAGGTGCGGGTGAACATTAACGCTAAGGACTGGCCCCAGGAAGCCCCCAGGAGGGGGCATCTGATCCGCCGCGGGTTGCGACCAGGTACGCGTAGGCGCCGACGTTGTGGCTGGGAGTCTCGGTTGCGGCACCGTGGTTACGCTGCCGCCAGCTGCGGCCTCCCATCCCGACTTCCGAGAAGATGTCGAACAAGCTCAACTACTCCGGCCTTCCCTTTGTACAGATGTCTCATTGCTCCGTGCTAGGGGACACACGGTAACATGTCGAGGAGAGTATGTTTCAGCGAGCATAATCGATCAGCCGCCGCTCACCATGCAAGCAGACACTATCTCTAGGTTAACGTTTGTTTTATTCTGAGCGGAGGCATGGCGCGCGGGTACAAACACCCCTTCCCATCACAAAACGTTCGTCATGGGGCCGACCAATGATCTGGCTTCGAGACCGATCAGGAAGCTCAGGGACGGTGACTACAAGGCCGCCGATTTCCCCTCGGGGAGCCTGAGAACGCCCCACAGAGTAGGGACCGTAAAACTCGGCGGCGCGCCGATGGCGCCTCCCCATCCGTGGCCTGTCCCCCGCCCGTGAGGTGAGTATCATTCCGTGCATCTCTCCGAAGCCTCGTCGAGCATCACGATGGTGATGCCCCATTCGCTATTGGCGCCGCAGACCCAGAGTACTTCAAGCACGGCACCGCGTGCCGCAGGCGACTTGCTTTCGCCCCGCGTCTGAACTCTGCCCCGCACTCGAGAGCCGCAGCACATCTTGCATGGTCCATGTCTGCGCTTCCAGAGGCACTGCAGGATGAGTTAGCGCTGCTGTTAGCCGACTTGGACGGGCTCCAGCGTACGCGCTACCTGTCCATCGCCGCGACATGCGTGTTATTGTACGACTTCCTCCTGACCTTTGATCAAGAGGTGAGTCGATGTCCTTTGCCAAGTGCTGCCTGTTTTAATCTCGAAAAATCGGATACAGGTCGAGTATTTCTGGAAGGCAGGACGCTGGTCTCTGTCCCGCGTACTCTTCTTCCTGGTACGCTCTTCGACGTGCGTACTAATTGACAAGCTTCAGCTCACGGCCTACACAACAGAACCGCTATTTCCCTCCCATCGTAGTTGTGTGCGTAATACGCCTTTCTCTTGTGTCGACTGCGGGTGCTGACTGCTCATTTTTAGCTCATGCTTATCCGGTATGTCGAGCGTACGCTTCGCAGTCTCGTTGTGCTAAATCGACTGCCAGGTCTTTTCATCCCTAATCTATCCGTTGAAGTGAGCAAGCATCATGTTCCACGGTTCGAAGACATACTGACGCACATTCACTTTCAGTTGTGCGTTTCAGCGATGATCCGCGGCGCCTCTTCCTGACAGACTCTACAGCTGCCTCGGCCTCGTACATGCCAACTTCATCCTCGCAGTCCTCGGACTTGCGATGGTACAAGGTATGTCGGCCGTGCTCGACTCTATTCACGTCGAATGATCCTCAATGCTGTCACTTCCCAGCGGTCATCGTCCTGCGGATCTGCTACGTCTACTCAAAGGACGCCATCATTCGCGCGTTCGTCGTCGGCTGCTTCGTCGCATGCACCATCATCACGTTCGTTATCTACGGCAAGATCTGGCACGACGTTGACTCGTTCGCAAACCCGGTCCCAAGCCTGAAGATTGACGGATGCACCGCGCCGCCGTCGCGCCAGATTTGGAAGATGTTCCTGCCGAACCTGGGGCTGCACACCTTGCTGTATCTCGCGACGACGATTCCGATGCTCCGGATGCGGAGGGTAGGCAAGCAGTCCCGGATGCTGAACCGGCTTGCGCGAGAGTAAGCTTTTTTGCGATTGATTCCTGGAGAGTGATCCTAACCAGGACTGCAGTGGCGGAATCTTCTACTTCAACATCTTTGGTGAGTAAAGCCTCAAATCCGCTTGGGTTTTGTACATGTACTCATCGAACTTATCAGCGGTCGCCATGTTCTCCACTGTCGGTTCCTTGGCTCGAACTCCCTTGGTATGCATACGTGTTCTGGGCGACTTGACATTTGTTGATATTCTTCTTCGACGTATAGGCCACCTTGCCTGCTATCTACTCCAAGTATGTCTGAATGCATCTATTGCCGCGGCTTTCGCTAATCGACGCCTTTTCAGTGTACTATTGTGCATAGCGGCCGTCTCGGTCTCACGTCTCATGCTAAGCATCCGTTCGCTTGCCGAGCAGCTGTCCGTCTCTCCAGACTGGCTGCTCAACAACACGGAGCTCAGCCGCGTGAACTGGAAGCCGGGAACCCGGAACGGCGAACTCATTGTGGAGATCGAGCCTCTCGAGGACGACGTCGAGATGGCGAGCGTAGACGAACTGGGCGAGGAGAAGCGTACTGCGACCCCCGCGGTATACACGACGCGCGTGGGCGTGCTGGAGCACCAGGTATACCCTGGGACGCGCGACTACAAGGCACCACCACGGCCCAAGAAGTCGAAGGTTGCGTTCAAAGATGGTGAGTGTTTCCGCTGGTGTAAATCTGTGAGGATATTGACATCATTCTTATCAGCGGAGAGGATTTCATACGATGTTTGACGAGCCACTATGCTGTATGGCAGGGCTGCGAGGAGCGGTAGGCTCCATCATGATACATAGTACATACCCTTCATCTTGTATGATGATATCGTTAATAGAAGCACACGGACACGGACAACAGGGTGGGCGCGGACTGAACTCTCCTGAATCACGACCCATCAAATTCGATGGGACAGAGCACCACGAGGCCCGGAATGCGGCCACTCAGTTTCCGAAACGAAGCAGAGCGCTGCTGCTAGCTTGTCAGTGCTTGATGCGCCGGGATCATGAGGAAGGGTACGGGCGGTATATCATAGGCTATTTGCTACCGATTCCGTGGTGGGCGTAAGAAGATCACATTGGGTGAAGTTCCGAGGTAGAGGGGCTAACGGAGTAGTAAACCATCACCGCCGTATATATGTAATTCTGCTCAACTTCCAAGCATCATTCAATCTGTGAACTTCAAAGCTATGCGCTTGAGGAACCGCTGGCAGTAAGCCAGCTGGCTCTAGGTCCCGCGAAGTCGTCGGGGACAAGTCCTCACTTGAACTATCTACACTTTCCAAATACGGAACGTCGGTAGATGCCGATGCCTTCGCACGGGCGCCTATGAGCAGGAGACCTCGAGAACACTGCAGGACGTCGAAGACCGCGTGACACTGAAGTCTTGAAGCTCGTACCGTCTCTCTTGTGTCCATCGCTGCTCTCCACTGCTTTCGCCATGGCCGACCTCTCCGCACCACCAGTCATGCAAGACCCCATGCAAGGCATCCCGCCGCCCATCGCCGCCCCCACCCCCGTCGCCGGCGCACCCATCCCCCTTGCCGGCATGGCAGTTCCCCCAGCAGGTGCGGCGCAACCCCCACCCGCCGAGGAGCAGGCGACGGAGACGCTGTACATCCAGAACCTGAACGAGAAGATCAAGATCCCGGTGCTGAAGGCGTCCCTGCGCGGCCTGTTCAAATCGTACGGCGAGGTGCTCGACGTGGTCGCGCACAGCAACCTGCGCATGCGCGGGCAGGCGTTCGTGTCGTTTGCGGATGCGGACGTCGCGAAAAAGGCGTTGAAGGAGGTCCGCGGGTTCCCGCTGTACACAAAACCGATGGTGCGTGGGGAGACTGCTCGTTCTCGTTCGTCTGCGTGTGTGCTGATGCTGCCTCAGCAAATATCGTTTGCGAGGACACGATCGGACGCTGTTGTGAAGAAGCTGGACGAGGATAACTTTGACTCGCACAAGGAGAAAAGACTAGAACACAAGAGTGCGTTTCTCCAGATACCTTCTCGTAACGAGCAAGAGAATAATAACGAGCATGCAGAGGCCACGCGTTACACGAACCCCATTAAGAAGAAGTACCGCCAGAAGCGGTTGGCTGCCGAGAGTACGTTTTCTTATACGCTGCGTATGTGCCGTATCCTCACCGGGACTACAGTGGACGGTGGCGCGGCAGCACCAGCAGCGAAGCGGCCAAACGTCCAGATGCCGGACGAGTACCTGCCGCCCAACAAGATTCTCTTCCTGCAAAACCTGCCCAAGAACGTCAGCAAGGACCAGCTCATGGCACTCTTCGCGCAGTACCCGAACCTCCACGAGGTCCGTCTCATCCCCACGAAGAAGGACATCGCGTTCGTGGAGTTCCTGGACGAAGCGAGTGCGACCGTGGCGAAGGATGCGCTGCACAACTACAAGCTGGACGGCGAGAACAAGATCAAGGTGCGTTTCGTGTGTCTTCAACCTCAGAGCAAGTATTCACCCCCATTTCTACTTTAGATCACCTTCGCGCGCAAGTGATCGTTTCATTACCTTGCTCCGGAACTGATGCTTGCGGGGAGTTGTTCTCATACGTACGTTATTGCCCCTGTATTCTTGCGCGCCGTCGCAGTGTATTATATGGGCTTGTCTCGCCGATATCCACCCATCGGACCGCCCACTCTTGTTGTGTCGCTCGCAAAACCTTTTTACACGAGACAGGGACAGCGTCGATAGCATAAAGTCCGATCCTAAGGTACTTCTAAACACATAAAAACAAGAAGGAAACTCTACGACAACGCTACCGCGCAAAGTCTAGTCTAAGTCTACGCCTCAGCCATCTAGCACGCCCTAGTGCACACGGCCCTCGCCATTTACAGGGTCGTATATGAAGTCCGCGTACTCGGGGATCCACTGGCGCTCCGCGATGCGGTCGCGCACCTCCTCGCGGTCCCAGTCGACGCCGGCGCTGCCCTCCGCGATCGCCTGCTCGGCGACCGCGACCGCGACCTCCGTGTTCACCTGGCGCGCGTCCGAGAAGTCCGGGAGCAGCGCGTTGTCCGGGTCCGAGAGCGCGGGCGAGAGCGACGCGAGCCGCCGCGCGCCCGCGATGATCATCGTGTCCGAGAGCCGCCGCGCCTGCGTGACCATCGCCCCATACCCAAGCCCAGGGTATATCAACGCGTCTGTAGGGCATCATATCAGCAGCTGCGCGACGGAACTCGCGTGGAATGGAGAGGGGTGTACGCACTGTTGCACTCCGCGATGGGGTAGTCCCGCCCGTTCGGCATCTTGCACGGGGGGAACGGACTGCCGGACGCCATGAGCGCGCGCCCGTCCGTCCACTCGTTCGCGAGGCGCGGCTCGACCTCGACGAGCCTGCTGGGATTCGAGAGCGGGAAGATGATCGGGCGCTCGACGCCGCGCGCCATCTCGCGCACGACGTCCTCCGTGAACGCGCCCGCGTGCGTCGAGCAGCCGATGAGCGCGGTCGGCTTCACGTGCTTCACGACCTCGAGCAGCCCGATCTCGCCCTTGTCGTTTGGCTGCACGTCCGCCCACTCCGCGTCGGGGCGCACGTACTCGCGCAGGGAGTCGCGGATGCGGCTCGGCCCGAGCGACTCCTTGACGAGTCCGTAGCGGTCGAGCAGGAAGAAGCGCTTGTTGGCCTCTTCGCGGGAGAGGCGGTCGATAGACATGATGCCGTCCCGCAGCTGCTTGGTGATCCCGAGCCCGGCGGTGCCGGCGCCGTAGACGAGGTAGCGCTGCTCGGAGAGCTTGGTTTTGGTAACGCCACATGCAGCCATCATAGCCGCCAGGGTGACCGCCCCGGTTCCTTGACTGTGGGTGATGAGCACGAGGACTTCGTGAAGGTATATAGATGGACGTACACATCGTCGTTGAAGACTGAGTGTTTACTACGGTAGTGGTCTAATAGACGTTGCGCATTCCCGACCCCGAAGTCTTCGAAATGCACGAGACTGTGGGGGTAGTGCTTTTGCACCAGCTGCATGAACCGATCCACGAATCGGTCGTAGGCCTTTCCTCGTACGCGACTATTTGACCAACCCTGATCACGATTCAGTACCGAATTCATGCGGAACGGGCAAAGGGTACATACAACATAGAGGTTGTCATGCAGGAGCTCCTGGTTGTCTGTTCCGACATCGAGCACCACGGGCACAGTTTTCGATGGGTCCATTCCCCCAAGCAGTCTGCTTCATCCTCAATAAACAGTACGAACCAGTGAGACAAGGGACGTACGTGTATATCGCGGACTTTGCGGTTGCAATACCGATTCCCTATATGTGCACACTTTCAGTTGCCGGTCGCCAAAATACGCGTGCAATATACGCACGCCGACTCCTTGGTCACCGATGCCGAGAATTGCTTCCGAGTCTGTGATCACGAAGAGCTGAATGTCGCGTCCGTTCGTGTACTCCAGGAACTCTTCCTCCATGGCATCCTGTTCGGGGAACGACAGGTAGAGACCCTCACTCCTGCGGAATAAGTGGGAGTAGTGCGCGATGGCATCGCCCTGAAGACGCGTCAATTATGCGTGCACACAGCTCATTGCGATCACGTACCTGGGTCGGGGTATATATGATCGGGATGAGCTCTTTGACGTGCCTGCTGAGCAGTCCGTAGTAGAGAACCCAGTTCTGGTCCTTGAGACTCTGCATAAAGGTGTTCTTCCGGAGCGGCTCATCGCGAGTACTGAGCTGGTCGTACGCCCGCGCACATTGCTCTTCGAGGGTGTTAACGCGGTAGGGCAGATGGCCGGTGATGCCGAAGGCCTTGCGCTCGGAGTGGGTGAAGGCGGTGCCTTTGTTAAAGCGGGAGTGGGTGAGGATGCTGTCTCCGCGGAGTGCGACGCGGAGGACGCGGTTGGTCGCGGTGGCCATCGACGAGTGGGACAAGGAGGACGGTGAGGAGCGAGACGGATACGATGGACAGCATCGTTTGGACAGTGGGTATTTATGGCACGTATGGGGCGCGTGTGTGGCAGACGGAGATGGCGGTGAGGGCGCGATGACGTCCGGTCTAGCTGCGTGCTCGATCGAGCAGCGAGTCGAGGCACAGACGTCTCTGCAACGTGGCGGACTTGTCCCTCGCCTCTCCGTCCCCGACCTGCGGAACGCACAGCGCTCACGATGCCGCTGTGGACCTCGACCCGAGTCGGCCGTGCCGGCGCAGTGCTAGGCTCCCACAGGCGCCCCGACACTCCCCCATCGCTTCTTGCTTCACAACCACCACAATCTCCGTGCTTATGGGCCGCTGGACGCAATATGATGAGGTGCGCAGGCCCGGCCAGCCTCGTTTGCGCTGTTTTAGCTTATTGGGTTGACAGGACTCCTACCGCCTGCCCGAGGGCATGAAACGGGTCGGATACGACTCGGACACGGGCAGGTACCAGTTCCGGGATCAGGACGGAGCGCTATGGGAGGGCCCCCAGGGTGCAGAGTTTGGAGAGATGAGACGAGGTGCGTCCAGAGCGACGACCGCCATGCTGCCCTCGCGTAGAAGCACTGCTCAGGCCATGCCGTCTGCTCGTAGTCGGGAATGCTCCAGTCGCTGTCGACGATCATGCGCAAGACGATGATGAAGAAGCGGAGATTGGTGTTCCGTCCACCCGCTCCGACGGTTATGCACCGCTCGCTTCAGATGCGGTACCGGTATGTCTGCTATAGCCCTTACTCAGCGCGCCTTCATTGACACAGTATATCCACGCTGTCAGAATGGCTGGACGTACCCTCGTCACACGAGCCGCAAGGACAGCGCGTACCGGGTTATCCTTCCTTTCTTCCTCATTGTCGCTGCCGTTCTCCTACTCGTCTTCCGTTTGGTCCATTCTTCTACGCCGGCTAGCCCTCCCGAAACTCTCCACTGCCCCGGCAGCAACGAGCCCTACCACGTCTCCCGCGGGGATACCTGTTGGGCCCTCTCACAAACCAGAGGGTGCACCGTGCAAGACATTCTCGATGTCAACCAAGGTCTGAATTGCGAAAAGCTGCGACCCGGCCAAGGCATCTGCCTGCCACCCTCACATAGTGCTTAGGTATCGCGTTCGCCATTGGATGGCCAGACGCTGCCACGGACTTTATTTCATTGGATTCCATTGTACCATACCGCATGTCTTCAGTGTATAACATCTATCTTTTCCCATGAACCCTTCAGCGAGGCCTGTTCGTGTGCGCGGTGAGTGCAATGCCCCCTACGACTTACTTCACTCACTCCCTGGGCTTCTCCCCACAGAATGTTGGTCGTGTGCATCAATCAGGTAGCGTTTCACAGCCCCTCGTAACAGCGACTGAGCGGGATCTTGGTAACCGTTCAAGCCAACCAGTACGGGCTGGTATTTTTTCCACGCTATTTGACCTTCTCGACCATTCAGGTATGTGCTTGTTTCTCTATCCTCAGCAACTTGCTTGGGGCGCAGGTAGTGAGCTTATCATATTTTGGAGAATGCTGTCCACGCTGTGTACGTACGGACAGCTTGCTACCAATCGGCCAGGGACCTCCGCGGGACCGCCAGCCGAGTCACGCTAGCATAGCTATATGACGGTAAATATTCACGTCTCCGCGGATCTCCTTACTACCTCTCCACCACCAGGACCACGTTCTCGCAATGTCGCTTGCATGGCATAGCGGATGTCTCGCGCTGGTTGGCCCACGCGTGGACGCAGTCGCCCGCGCTGCGATCTCCGGCTTCGAGAAGACCACATACGCACAATACGCAACGCTGCTCTGTGACCCGGCTTCATCCTCTTTCCACATCACAGTCCTCACCAAGGACGAGCTACGAGATGCATCCGTCAAACCCGCACTACCTCCACTCGATTCCGTCGACACCCGGCACCTGCACTTTGTCGGTATCGGCGGCAACGTGAAGTCTGGTGCTTTCTTCGTTGCAGTCGTGTGGCCTGCTGGGCAGGTTCTGCGGAGCCGTGTCGGCCTCGGAACAAAACACTTCCACATCACCATTTCTGTCCGGGACGACCACACGATCGACAAGGGGTTCGACGCCGTCCTGCCTGCGAACTACTTACCCGACTTCTGTCCTGACGATCCCGAGTTCCTCGACCACCTCGCGTTTACATTTCACCTGGAAGGCCGGTACGACCGTGCGCGCAGCACCGCAGCCAGCCTATGCAAGGCGGCGCCCTCCTCGGAGCGTGGCTTCCTCAGGCTGGCGGACGCGGCGTCCAAGGAAGACCAGCATAAGCTCGCGATGCTCGCGTATGCGTGCGCGTTCCAGCGATGCTCTGACTCGCGGGTGCGCGAATATTGCCTGAAGAGACTGGAGGAGTGCGCTCAGTATACCGAATGGGGCGCTGTTTTCACCGATGCAGAGCGCGAGCGGGTTAACGAAAAGCTTTCTCGCCCTCTGCTGGTACCATGGTCCAATGAGCTTCGCGATGAGCTCAGCCATCGGACGCTGGCAGACCCTCCGTCACTGTGTATATCCTCTCGAGAGCCGATGTGCATCACTGGTCACAGTCGCACACGCCACCGCACCGAGTTCTTGCGCATCCCGCGCTTCTTCAGGTGGCTCGTCCCGTTCTACCTCGCCCTCATGTCAACCCCTCGCGACGAAGCCGACATCGACGCCCTCGCCTCGCCCACTTTTGGGATCTGCAACGTACTCACACTCACGGAAGAGACGCCCCTCCCTGCATCCTGGTTCGCAGGAAAACGGATCCGCAACACCTTCCTCCCCATCCCCAACTACATGCCCCCCACGATCGAGTAAGTCGACCTCATCCTCCGCCTACTCGAGGACTCGCGCAACACGCCCATGCTCATCCACTGCGGCGGCGGCAAAGGGCGCGCAGGCACCGTCGCAGCGTGCTACCTCGTCGCATACGGGTTCGCGCGGCCCGACGCCTCCCGCACCGAGCCCGCCATGTCCGCAGGCGCAGCCATCGCCGCCCTGCGCGCACTCCGCCCGGGGAGCATCGAGACGCAGCAGCAAGAGGACTTCGTCGCGCGGTACTGCAGCGCGCTCTGGAAACGCCGCGTCATCCTGCCCGAGCTCGTGTCCGAGCCTGCGCCGTGCCCGCTCGAGATCGAGGGCGCCTTGCCTGGGGACGCGGACCTGTTCATCCTGGTCGGGCTGCCGGGCGCGGGCAAGTCGACGTTCGCGCGTATGCTGATGGCGCGCGACCCGCGCCGGTGGACGTATGTCTCGCAGGACGACGCGGGCAGCCGTAGCGCGTGCGAGACCGCGCTCGGGAACGCGCGCACTGGGGCGCGCGTGCTGCTCGATCTGTGCAACGTCGCGCGCGACAGACGCAAGGAGTGGCTCGCGCTCGCGGCGCACTGGGCGACGGCGCCCGTGTGCGTGTGGTTCGACTACGAGCGGGCGCTGTGTGTGTCGCGGGCGCAGAACCGGGCGGGGCACCCGACGCTCCCTCCAGGAAACCGGGTGCGCAATGCGATGGACCAGATGCACGGCATGTTCGTCAAGCCTGCGCTTGAGGAAGGCTTTAAGGCTGTTGTGGCTATACGGTCCTTCGCCGCGGCCGAGGAGTTGGTATCCCGGCTGTCCCCTCCGATAGGGTTGCTCAAGTTCCCCCGCACACCCCACCTAATCGACCTCGGCTCCGCAACGAGCGACGATGTCGTGCTCGACGCGATCCCGGTCCCCGGCGACGGGCACGTCGTGATCACCGAAAAGGTCGACGGGGCGAACATGGGTTTCTCGCTCTCTGCGGAACGCACGCACATCTTCGTGCAAAACCGCTCACACTACATCAACCCGGCCTCGCACGAGCAGTTCAAGAAGCTCGGGCTGTGGATTGAGCGGCACCGCGCGGGGCTGATGGTGGTCCTCGACCGCGACCCGCTCTTCGCGCAGCGGTATGTGTTATACGGGGAGTGGCTCGTGGCGACGCACTCCATCCCGTATAGCTGCCTCCCGGACTGGTTCCTTGCATTCGACCTCTATGACCGGAGCACCGGGAGGTGGGCGAGTCGACGGATACTGGAGGCGCTTCTGGCAGACACGGACATCTGCTTGGCGCCGGTCGTGCACGAAGGCAGGATGCTCGGCGAGGACGAGCTTCGCGAGTTCGTGCAGAGGCCTTCGCTGTACTATGACGGGCCTGTGGAAGGGGTGTATGTCAAGGTCGAGAGGAATGGCGAGGTGGTCTCACGAGGCAAGGTCGTGCGAGCGGACTTCATCGCTGGGAACGAACACTGGTCCAAGGGGCCTCTCCGGATGAACGTCCTTCAAGTTGAGGACGCAAGTTGACCCACGGCTCTGCAACTTCGTCTGTATGAGCACCCGAGGAATACCGCGCCACACGTGGCTACTGATATTACAGGAATATACTGCAGGCTGAGGTGCGTTTATCATCCTCGATGTTGCGAAATCCCATGCTTACCAGGCATAATTACCAGAGTTCCTGTTCACCCACCTCCTACCATGCCATGGTCACCGCGAGTGGGAAGAACCTGTTTGACGGCCACACCGACCGTGGCATGTCGATGCGAGCTTGGGAAGGGGTCATGGGCCGGTTATCTAGACTAAGCTAGCTATTATATTCGCATCCACATAGCTCTGCTGGATAAACCATCTGCGAACATATATCTTCATTTTCCGGCGGCATTTACTCTCAGAAAGAATGAAAGCTTGGAAGTCTTCGACAGACGGTCGCAGTGGCCAATTCAGTGGAAGTGTTCATTGAGCGCCTATCTAATCTACACAAGATAGCCGATGCCGAGGAGAGGGTTCTCCCACCGATCGCTCGATTATAATCAAGTCCACCCAGGAGCCAAAAATCCACTCTCTCCCTCTCGCCTTCACGAACCTCCACGACTCTCTCAACACCATGTCGCAGCCATCCTACCAGCTCTTTTGCCTGGGCAACCCCCTGCTCGACATGCAGGTCACCAACGGCGAGGCACTCCTCGCCAAGTACGGCCTCAAGTCGAACGATGCCATCCTGGCTGAGGAAAAGCACGCGCCCATGTACGTCGCTATCTATCCCACACTACCACGCGGACTGACGTGGTGCGCGCAGCTACCGCGAGCTTGTAGACAACTACAAGGTCACCTACGTCGCCGGTGGTGCTGCACAGAACGCGGCCCGTGGCGCTGCGGTATGTCCCCCGCGAGTACGGTGTTCCTTTTCAATCGCTGACTTATTCTTTTGTAGTACGTCCTCCCCGCGCACTCCGTTGTGTACACCGGCTGTGTCGGCGACGATGATCTGGCGGAGCAGCTCAAGGCTGCGAACAAGCGCGAAGGCCTTGACGAGGTCTACCTCGTCAAAAAGGGCGAGAAGACCGGCGCCTGCGCGGTCATCATCTCTGGCCATGACCGCTCGCTCGTGACTACCCTAGCTGCCGCGGAGAAGTTCGAGAAGGAGCACCTCTCTTCGCCCGAGGTTGCTCCCCTCGTTGACGCCGCAAAGGTGTACTACGTCGAGGGCTACTTCCTGACGCACGGCACCGAGTCCGCGCTCGAGATCGCCAAGAAGGCATCGGAGGCCGGGAAGGTACTCATTTACTTACGCCATTCGGACGCTGCGGTTTGCTGACTTGCTGGTGACTTCCTCCAGATCTTCGTCCTGAACCTGTCCGCACCCTTCATCCCGCAGTTCTTCGCCGTGCAGCTGCAGCAGATCCTGCCCTACTGCGACATCATCATCGGAAACGAGGCCGAAGCCGAGGCATGGGCGAGCGCAACTGGTCTCCCCGACAAGGAGGACCTCGCGGCCGTCGCGCGCGCGATCGCGACGCAGCCCAAGTCGAACGCCTCGCGCCCGCGCACGGTGATCATCACGCACGGCCCGAAGTCGACGACGGTCGTGACGTCCGCGGAGCCGGACGCGCCGAAGGTGTTCCCGGTCACGCCGCTGCAGGACGCGGAGATCGTGGACACGAACGGCGCGGGCGACGCGTTCGCGGGCGGCTTCCTCGGCGGGATCGTGCTCGGGAAGGGCGTCGACGAGGCCGTCGAGGCGGGCCACAAGCTCGGTGCGATGTGTGTGCAGCAGGTCGGCCCGCAGTACAAGTGGCCCAAGGTCCCGATCTTCTGAGGAGTGGACGACTCGAACGCGAACACCCACCCCCATCCCCGCACGTCACGACACCTGCTGATTCCCCATCCGTAACTTATTCCGGCTCCCTCGCTCTCAACAGCGTATGCTTCCACGATTCCCCCGATGTAGCGTCCTAGGAGCTTCCCACATTGTAGATTACGAGTCAACCATCGTCATATCTGTAGTAGTCAATCGCTTGCTGCGACAATACCAATGAATTCTCCTTGTTGGTTCGATTTTGGTTCATCATCGTGTGCATGTTCTGCACACCGTGTGCTCTTTGAGGGCATCTTTACTATAGGACGATAGGTCCCGTTGGTCCAGCCCCGAACATTTGCTGGAAGAAAGCACACAAGACGACGCACTGTTGATGGAAGCGCAAAAATTACAACTTAAAGTGACGTTATAACATAGGCAGATATAACGATATTAACCCCGTCCCAGCCCACTTCCGCCCGACCGCTCCCCGGATTCCATAGTTTGTGAAAGGTCACGATGCCGGGGGGGACGCGAGCGACTCCTTGCAATGCGCATGTACACACACGGTCAGAACTTACGCTTAACCAGCTGTATTCGCCCATACCTGTGTCAGGAGCTCTGCTGAACATGCCGTCAGTCACGCATGCACACGATGGGCTGAGAGATACTCACCAGGGTTCAGCATTGGCATCCCGTCCTCAGTCAGGAGCTGTTCCATCGGCGCAGGTGGCGCGCCGGCGTCGGCTTGCTTGACCTGCACAGCCGTCTCTGAGGACTGCGCGTCGACATGGACGTCGCCATCGGTCGTTCCATTGGGCTCTCCGTTTGGACTTGGCTGTATTCCATCGACTGTCATAGGCGTAGCGCCAGCCTCGGGGATACTGTCGCCGCCGCGAGCTTGTTCAAGCTGCGATCCGCTCTCGGGCGGCTCCGCGGCTGCGGAATGGCTCCTGCTGGGACCTGCAATTTCGGTGTCATTCGCCCCCTCGAAAGTAGTGGCGGATTGCGGTTCAGAGGGCGGAGCTTGCGTAGAGCCATCGGACACGGCTGACCCCCGCCGACTGGCCTGCTCCCGCATCTCCTGCTCCTTCTGGAACGCGAGCACGGCCTGCAGAGCCGCGAACGCAGACGCGTCCGGGCCGTCCGCGACACCGTTCTGTGCCCCGCCGTCCTGCACTTGTTGCTGTGGCTGCATCTGCGTGCTCCGCATAGACTCGCTGTTGCGCGGATCGGCGGAAGACGGCGAGGACATATCGGCAGAGTGCCGCCCATGGCTCGAGCTCTCGGGTTTGTCGGGGCTTGTGTCGCGCAGCGCAGACTCAGGCGGGGCGACCCCATTCATGTGGTCGGACTGGGAGAGCAGGTCTGGGTTGATCTGTGGAGGGAAGTGGCCCGGGTGGGGCAGAGGCATCCCGGGGTGCCGGTAGTATGGGGACGGGTAGTAGGAGGGCATGTACATAGCGGGCGGCGGGGGCATGGCGTGATCGTTAGGCCCCCATGAAGGAGCGGGAATTGGTGGGGGTTGCCAGTTCGCGGGGTGCGAGCGCGTGGCTGAAGTAGGAAGTCCGATGGGCGAGGGCGGGTAGTGCGGGTCCATCATCATGCCTGGAGGTTGCGGGCGTGGAGGCGGAGGGTAACCTGCATAATATCCGCCGCCATCTACAGATGCCATTTTAGTTCGGCGTTGCCTGAGTAGGGGGGCAGCGCACGTACCTTGCATGGTGTGGGGTCGGTAGTAACTTGATGGCCCGCTCGATGCGTTGCTTGTTTGAGTGGCGGGTGGAGATCCATTAGTGCTTCCTTCGCCGTGACTTCGCGAAGGGGAGCCGCCCGGGCTGGGGGATCTCGAACCGGAAGACGCGCCATCGCCGGAGTGTTTGCCCTTCTCCTCTGATGGCTCAATGACTACACCGTTATGGCGCGACTTCTGGTGTCGCCGTAGCGCATCGGTCTGAGCACAGCAAAGCATGTGAGCCACGGAGCCACTGCAATGGAGCGGAAGCGAAGCGGGGAATACGCACTCTAGTGAAAGTCGCATCGCACTGAGGACACTGGCTGGATGCACCACGCCTGGCATGAGTTGGCCATATGCTCAAGTCAAGTGAGAAAAAGACATACAAGCCTGGTATAGAGTGTGTCTTGGTGGTCCGCTGGTGCCTCTTGAGGTCTGCCTCGCGCGCGAAGACCTTCTTGCAGCCGTCGATCTTACACGGCCAAGAGCCGGTCTCCGGTTTCTTCTTCGCGCCGCCGCCGCTCGACTTTTTCTTGCCGTCTTTCTTGTCCTCGGCCTAGAAGCCCCAGGGGCGCGGTGGTGAGTGAATGCTGCGGGTCCCACGCCAGCCACAGCGAACGCGAATCCGGCTGTGGCAAAAGTGGCTGAAGCGATAATGTGGCCGATCGGGCAGCCCGGCCGGTGCTCACCGACTGTTTTCCTGTCTGTCTGACCATGTTACACGCTGTACAACACGCCTGTATGTTTTACAATCCCGCCTGCACCTCGCGTCGACGATCCGTTGGCGGAGGGACGTCTGGAGGGGTGGAGGAAGGCCTGTGGCTGAAGTGTGGCTGGCGGTGGCTGGCGGGTGGCTGACGAGCTGGCGGAGTCTGAGCAAGTTGCATGGGCGCTTACTCCCCGCCGTCCTCCGATTTCAGCCACCGTGACAAACTTCATCGTCACATTTTATCTCGGTCCGACTGCCCGGCTGCACCTTCGAGCGGATTCAGTGTTGGCACGCGCAGTTTCGAGTTCGCCATCTCTCATAAACAGCAGGGAACAAACATAGCCGACTGGTGATTTGGTACAGAGGGTATATCACATATGGCAAAGCAGCTTTTAGTAGTATAACACGGGATCCGATCCCGATGATTCACTTTTCTCCACCCAAGATCCGTGCGCTCTGGGGGACACACAACGTCCTACAACATCACCTCAGAGGCCCCGAGACCTTGCCGGGCGTGCCCCAGCAGCTTACCGCCAGGTGTCGGTCTCGGTGGCGGAGCCACTTGCGGGCGTGGTGATGGAGTTGTTCGGGTCCGACTCCCAAGTGACCGCGCCGTTGTTCTTGCGGATGTACTTGTACTCGATCGCGGAGCTCGCAGGCAAGTTCACAGTGACTGCGCAAATAGAAGACGTTAGACTTGAATCGCGTGGACAGTTGAAAAGCACGTACTGCTCCAGACGGGGTAGTTTGCGGAAGAGAGGAGGAGCGCGTTGTCGGGCGACCAGTTCTGGAGTGCGTCAACGGAGCCAGTGAGGTAGATGTTCTCTGCGGGGCTCGTCGTCAGCACCTTTTTCAGAATACTACCAATCCATGGTAAACTCACCGCCAAAGACTGTGGTGGCCTGCACATTGAAGGTAACCGCAACGGTCGCACCGCCGCTGCCACCGCTGCCGGTACCGCTACCGCTCGTCGAGCAGACGGCGGGGACGGTGAAGCCCGCGGCGCCCCAGCCGGCGTAGGTCTTGCCCGCACGCGCGTGGAACGCAGTGAGGGTGGCGGCGTAGCTCCAGGTGAGGTCGACGGCGGAGACGGGCGCGCCGGTGCTGCGGCTGTACTGCTCGGCGAGGCCGCCGTTCGAGGGCGTGTACTGGGCGTTCACCGCGACGAAGCCGTCAGCGAAGGTCTTGATGGCGGTCGTGAGCGTCGTGTACGTCGCCGAGGTCGAGGGGAAGGTGCCGGCGGCGATGCCCGACGAGAACTGCTGGAAGAAGGGTAGCGATGTGGCCGTGACGTTGATGCTGCCGAGCGTGTCCCAGACGATGAGCGCGTCGTAGAGCTGCTCGGCGACGGAGAGGGTGGTGAGGTACCAGGGCTAAAGGGGACACGGAGAAGTCAGCGCAGTGCGAAGGAAGTTGAGGAAGTCGTACGTACGTTACCGCCCTGGTAACTGTCCTCGGGGTAGCGGCCGGTGGCAACGGCAGCGTTGGCAGCAATGCCCGAGTTGATAGTGTAGATCGAACGGAACGAGTCGACGTAGACCTTCAGGTTGGAGAGCGCCTTGTCCGAGCAGGGTTGGAAGGTCGCGGCGTCGCATCCCGCAGCGGGGTCGAAGGTGTGGATGGACGTGAGAACGGTGTTGGCGTCCTTGCCGGAGCGGCCTCCACCAGTGTTGGCAGTGATGTAACCGGCGCTGGGGTTCCAGTACGACTAGAGGACGGTGACAATATTAGAATGTTGCGCGAATGCACAAAAACAAATGGCGGCGGCTGACCTGGAGGAAGCAGAGAAGGTTGTCCGCCTGCGTGGTGTAGCCGGCCACAACTGAGGTCTGACCGATGCGAGTAGCGAACGTCGCACCCTCGCGGAGCGCGCGGTGCTGGACGGCGGTGGTGAAGAACGACGAGGAGTTAACCTCCTCCCAGAGATCGAAGCTATGAAGAATAAGTGTAAGCTTGGGTGATGCTCCCTAACGTCAGATAGATAAAAACGCACGTAGATTGGTTCCAGTTGTTGGCGACGTAGTCGAGGTCGAGCTTGATGATAGGCCAGAGGGTCTGAGTCACGTAGGTCGTGTTGCTGTTGTCCAGGAGCCAGTTGGCGTAGGAGATGATGGCGGTAGACCGGAGGGCAGGTCCATCTGCATGATACTTATATCAGCTTATGTTTCAAGATATTTAGACGGCCGGTATACTTACCACGCTGAGGACGGCCCCAAGCGTCGGTGAACGCGGTCTCGTCAATGTTGAACTTGGGCTCGCCGAGGCCGCCGGTGCTAACGGTCCCGCTCGGGTTCGAGACCTGCTGGAGGATAGCCTGCGAGCTCGTGAAGCTGTCAATCAGCCCGCGCAGGGTGGTGTCCTCGCCAGAAGTGAACTGGTCGATGAGTGCCTTGAAGACGAGGGATGTGTCACGGGTCCACGTGAAGAGGTAGTTCGGGTTCGACGTGCTGGGGCTAGCGACGACGATGCCGGCCTGTGAGAGAGCCTCGAATGTTAGCGGCTTCGCAGACGGATGCATGGAACTCGAAACACTTGCCTTGGCGCCCTGCGACTTGGAGCCGCTGGGACCAATGTTGGCGAGCACTCCGGCCTTGGCGATGGGGGACTCGGAGGCGACGTACGCGTCTGCAGCACTGGACTGCGCAAACGCACCGACCGCGAGGCCGACGAGGGTGGCGAAGAGGGTGAAACGCATGGCGCCCTGTGGTCAAACCGGGGTGGGTGAAGAGGGGAGACGGAGGCCAAGGACGTCAAACGAGACGCTGCAGGACCAGGGCACGCCCTCCGCAATATTTATACCACTCGCCGTCACTGCTACCGAGCGAATGTCTGCAGTAGCTGTGATGACGAAACGAAGTTGGTCGCAGATGATGCGCCGGGCCCGCGCGGTCAGGCGGACATGTTGCATATGGAAGGCTGGCCGTGGGATTGCGTCCGGCGGGCGCGCATGGTTGCCTGGTTGGGCGAGGCGGCCAAAAGATGAAGAGTAAAACGACCAATTTGAGAACGGAGGTCAGAGACATTGGCTGCGCGTTGCACGCTGCCTTGTGTAGGGAGCGGCGCGTCGCCGGTTACGCCTGGGGTGAGCGCTCCCGGGTCGTGTAGTTTTCCCGGTACCTCTGTGCGATCGCGCGGACGTGTGGGCCGTCTAACGACGGCTCGAGAGGAGCAAAAACGACCAGCGGGCGGGCTGCAGGCCAATCCGGAGCCGCTCTGGGTCGGGGTCGGACGTCGGGGTAGCGTTGAGGGAATAGTGCGGAGTGTCGTCAGAGATTCGTAGGGCACCCAGTGATCTGATGAGAGGCGTTGCCGTCTGATCGTACTTAGTCTGTGCCGCCCCCGCCACCGCGGGGGAGAAGCACAGAAACACATGTGCCCCGTGGGGCCACCGGCGGTACCGCTCTCTCTCCCGCCACCCGAGCGTCCCCATTACCCACGCTAATTAGCTAAGTCTACCGACCGCCTGCTCGTAGCTAACTAGCTAGCTCAAGTTATCTCCCATTGAACCAGCGAAAAACCCAGCATTCAGCACTTTCCCTTAGGCCCTAAGGGCGACTACTGATATAGATAAGATGTGAGAGAGATCACTATAGATAAACACCAATCAATCTACCGATAACAACCTGATCGCTGTCCGAGAATGCCGGGCGTTGAGTATCGCATCAGCGCCCGCCGTTGATGGCGTCGGCAACGCTGCTTCTCGCGTTGTCCGGACCCCGCGTGACGTCGTTGCTGACGGCGCCGACGCCCCGCGCCCCGGGCGCTCTCCCGCCCGCCCCATCCCAATCCGGTAAGTAGTACCTCGGGTACCAGGATGCCCCTCCCCCGACGGGCCATAGCTCCTCTCCCCCTGCCCCGATTGACATCGTTCTTTTTGTATTGTGTGCGCATTACATGGGGCTATATAATACACTTTGTCCGACGCTTAT